TGCCATTGAAAGAGGGATTTTAAGATGCATAGCTGAGAATCTTTTCCCGTGACGGCCTCGACCTCAGAGCAACAGTTAGTAAGATATCAGATCGGTTCCCCGTAGTAATGAATAACGCTTCGGAACGAAACCTCAATATGAGATGGGAAAAAAATACATGACTCACACCCTTTCGAATTGTATTCATGACTAGTTAAACGAGGATTGTATTCAAATATTTAAATAAGTCTTGGGACGAATGCCTACTTTCATGAGGAATGGAAATAAGTAGGTATAATACTGCCCGACAAAATCATAATATTTTAAATACCATTTAGTGCACGTATATCACTTTTAAATCCTGCACAAGAAAAACTTCAACGTACACATCTTAGATAGATTCGTACAAAAAAGTAAAAATAAAAATAGTCAATACAATATTTCTCGTAAATGGTAATAACTTTGTGGACATTTTTAAAAGGAAAGCAATGCTATGTAACGCCATCAATTGAAGTAGAAACATTGAGAGCCATGTGAAAAGGGGCGGTGTTCAGACGATCGTATCAAACCATCGGACCGCAGCCAAGGGTTAATTGTATTTAATTAATTTATCAGAATGAAACATCTTGTAAATCGAATATTACTTTTTATTTCAATAGGAAGACTGGGGGTTCTAATGAAATTAAATGATTGAAAATGAATGCACATTTTAACAATGACGAAAATAAAACTCTGAGAATATTCATTGTAAACGTCGATGAGAACATTTAAGTAACTGTACTATTAGCGACGAGTTCATAGATTTTCAATAGAAAATGTATCTCATCATACCCACTTTTCCTTATTGGTGCTAATAAGACAAGAGCAAAATCGACCATTTCTGATAAAAACGCATGAATCATTTTCGCCAATTTGCAGGAAATACCCGACAGTGCATTGTCCAGCTCAAGTAATGGCCGAGGCTTGCTGTATCATGATCATTCAGGTAAAAGTAACATCTTATTCATCCATATTTTGTTCTAAGACAGATATAACTCTAATGGCAGTAATTTTAACTTCAAGATTTTCTTTTATTTCTCCATCGGCCACTTCAGTTCCTATTTCTAACATATTATTGTGTGCTTCTGGTGTTATGTCACCATATTTCTTAACTAAATTGCACCGGTAATAATTAGTGTGAGCACTATTGTCTGACAAACTGCATCATGTGCCATTATAACTATAACAGTATCTAATACAATAGACCTTATCTCTTACGTAACTGCTTTCTTCACATCCCTTTATACTGCCAATATTCAAAATATTATGATAGAACACCTTGATCGGATTACTGTTTGATTCCAAAATTATCCTCTGCCTTTCTCTGTCTCTGGTCGGGTTAATGTTTAAATAACGATCATAATTAATGTTCAGGACTAGACAGCAATCTTCCTATTATATATTAACATAAATTTGCCAATTTTCTCTGATTATTTGAAAAATTTAAGTTTAATTGTCATATTCTTCTTTCAGGTTACACAGTAAATGAATATGAAGAGGGTCCTCATTACACACATGGTCACGATTACCATCTTTATGACCCCCATTCAGATGGTCATGGTCCTCCTTCTTTTGATCATGACTATCACGGATATCACCACAATGATCATCATGGCCATCACGATTCGCATGATCACCATGACTATCACGATTCCCATGGTCACGGTCATCATCATGGGCACTATGATAAACATTATAAACATGTAAGTATGGATCATAATATTGAAGATAGTTTCTGCTCTTTTGCAAAAGTTCCAGTAGCCAATACCACTTATGTTATTAATACAAAAGTTTAAACAAGAGCTAATCATCAGGTTCATAAAGTAAATTGTTATGAAGTACTGTGTTTGAAACGAGTACAGTTGGATTTGATTTTGTATATTTTTATACTCCTGAACTTAAAGAAGATGATGCCAGGGGCACTCTGAGGTCAGATTTGGTTAAATCGTCTAGTATTGTTAAACAAACTTGTTGTTTTTACTTAGCACTGAATTTTCTTGGTATAATTTCTATCATCCGTCACAGGTGTCTGATCCACATCCATTGTTCAATGGATCAATAGAACAATTGTCATTTGTGATGTCGACGAACAATAGTTGCAAACCACTTTCTGAACTGAAGTTGAAGGTTCAATGGGTAACAACTAATGGTGATTGGTAACATTGTAAGATGTTTAAAAATATTTTTATCTGATAGCGTGAGGGCATATCCTTTTATACAAAATGCTGATTTTGTCTAACGGCGTAAGTTAGCACATTCTTTTCGTAATATTGCTTTCTTTGAAGACTGTCTTATAAGTTCTATAGAGTTTTGGAATTGTTTTTGGCCCGATATCATTCCTGAGGATGATGATGGGATTGATTCAGAGTATAGAAAGATTTTTAACACAGCAACACAGCCTGTTGTATACATGATAGTGGTACAATTCCGTACGTCTGTAAAATAAAAATTGTAAAGAATCTAAAATTATCATTGCTATATTGCAAAATTGATTAGTCCTCGGGAAATGGGTTGCTGTTATTCTTAGATCAAATAACCTACGCATTTGTACCTCCACGATAAGATACTGCTAAGACACTTATTCATTTACTAAGTGTAACTTAATATTGTATGGAGCTTCATAAACATTGTCCTACTGGATACTTATGTGTATGCTATCGTTCGTTCATATTTTTAAAACAATGTTAATGTGGCAGATACATTATGTAAATTTCGCATGCTATAATTTATACTCTATTCAAAATTCATTCAGTTCTTACTGTATTGATGGGTATTACTGAAAACCTTTCTTAGATAATTAAAAAATCGTATCAGATTTTTACCGATAAAAGTGGATTAACTACCCTTTAGAGATCCATCACGTGTTTGAATCACAAAACTATCATTTCCATTGGTATTATGGATGTCATTCTTATTAAAATATAATGACGAAATTTTAATCTTATATAATTTTAATTCCTCATTTCACAGGCGCTAGCAACAAAGGCAGTACTGTGGCCTATAGCTGGAATAGCACTTCTAGGAGCAGCAGCAGCACTAGTTAGTAATCCAGTTCTCCTACAGCTTGGAGTCATATCTGGTAAACGTAGAAGACGAGACACAGAAGAAATAACTGGACCTGATTATGCGTCTGACATGTTCACAAAGTATGAAGAAAAAATAAAAGAACTAAGCAATGACGGAAAAAATGTTCAAATCAAGGAGAATTTAAGGAAAAAAACGAAAGAAAACGGAGTTTTAAAAATTGCATCTTTAACTGAGACCGCTAAAAGGAGACAAATAAACAATAATCCCAAGGACATGAAAACTAATACAAGTTTTAAAAAAGTGCATTACCCAGTCAAGGGAAATACCAACCAAGAACCAGAAACTCCAATTTATAACGATAATGATAACAGATTTATCCCTATTCCAATAAAATTTAAAACACCTAATGGAACTGATTAAAATGTAATTAATTAAGTAGCTTAAATACATTTCAATTTTCTTAAAATATATCATACTGTAGTTTAACATTATTTATTGTAAAAATAAAAATCCTATTGGAATTTAGCTAATATGAAATAATTGACATAGTACTCACCAAAATAATGGTAAAATTTTTCAAGCTACAGTCCTTTTCTAAGAACACTGCACTTACAACTTAATACACAGAACACAAACAGCAAAAACAGTAGAAAAACAGGCTCGAAACAGCTCATTGGTTGGTAATAAAGCAGAATTAATTACACGATGAGATACTCAAAACGACACTGGACCATATATATCACTTGTACAGTGTATATGACTCCACTCACAAACAATACACACAGAAATATTGACAAAACAAACTATAAACCGACAATTGTTTGGTCAAACGTCATCAAATGCCCGATCATACGGTGTTTGACTTACGAAACGAGTGAAGTTCGAACCACGAGACAGTTTTGAATGAAGTTGCTTGCCTGTTGACCTTTCTATGTGTGCGCACACGCGTAGCAGACTGAACGTGCTCAAGCGCATGGGGTGTTGAAAAACTTGCTTTAAAATGCCCATGTGTGAGTCATGGTGAGACACGTTGCTATTGTATGCCGTTCTTATTGGTTATGGATATTAAATTGTAAAGATAACGTTTGGGTTAACAAAGAATTCTTTAAATATTGTGACTAGGAATTAGCTTCGATTTAAATAATGCTTTTAAAACATTGAAACTCCTACTTACCTACATTGCTCCAAGTTCAATCATTCATGATTCATTCATATTTACTACATACATAAATTATTTTAAACTTACTTCAATTCACCAGCAATATCATTAAGATAAAATGTTTATTATTATGAACATAATTTTATTATGACTCGTTGCTTAAATGCCAGTTTTAATAACCGCCCTCTATTGGATTAGTACTGAACTACCAACGGTAAACCATATTCAAGCATGGCGGCTGACTAGTAACTTAAGTGAACACAGAGATGTAACTTTACTATGACTGCAATAGATGGCGTGGCTTTGAGATTAAAAAAAAACTACTACATCTGTTCATAAATCATGTCGTCAAGTTTGAATATTTTTTTTGATCTATTTTATTTTAGGGGCTTTTAACCAATAGGCCCCATCGTAACCCATACTAAGTTTACTATTGTCCAAGGTTTATCTGTTCGATTTATTTTTCTATTAGAAGTCCATAACGTATACTGTAGAAACCGGTTGCCGTTGCCGTGCCCTACAGGGTCCATACTGTACTATATTATTATGTAACACCTTTTAAACATATGGAGTGCAATAAACGTATTGAGTATTGAGTAAAACCTATCACTACACGCCAGCCATACCCGACATAGTGCTCAAAATATTTTCAACCAAGAAACGTGTTCGGTAGTGAGATATCTAGACCGAGGAGGCAGTATATCAGGGATATCTATATTGCTCCAAACTTTGAAAAATAAATAATTAAAATTAAAGAAGATGTAATTAAAACTTTATTTCATAAATAAATACTGTGGAGCATCACGACATATTGTTATTTATAACTTGAATCCAAACTGAAAACAAAAAAACATTATACTTATTCGTAGAAAACTGATTATTATTTTTTTATGCATGCAAACTGGACAAGTGATGATAACATAAAAAAGGGATAAAATGGATAGATAAATAGATTGTATATGAAATGGAATGTAGAAAAGGTGCATAAGGCTGACATGTCTGGTATATGAGATCTATTCGTAGAACAACAAACAAGTACAGATAATTTTAATAATATAATATTTTTTTACGTACCTTGGGTGCATTTTCAACTGTGCATTTGAATATCATAGCTGCTCGGTCACAACCTTTTTCACCATCAGATACGCTGAGTTCGTTTACTAAAAACAACAAATAATACAAACATTTCAATTCATGTCTATTGTAGATTTTTATTGCGTCTATTCTTTATCAACCTTTTAAATAAAAGATCATGATGTCCTCCTGATAATAAGGAAGACCTAATTTAGCAGTTTATGAATTTGTCATTTTTTATGTGTAGAGGTGAATAATAAACGACTTATCAAACCCTTTTTTTCTTATTCTATGCAGAAAAGAGGTATCTGTTACCTTTAACACAAAGGTCTGCCATTTTCTTTGCATTAACCAGCCGTTTTTCATCTCCGTTCTTCATCATTTCAGCTACTTTATATGCATGGTCGATGTCGTATTCGCCTTTAGCATTCATCTGAAAATACATGTGATTGAATGAATGTTTAACCTTTTTTATAGTGCCTCGCTGGCCGAGTGGTCGCAAGTGCGACTAACGGGCTTGATTCGGGTAAAGTGTGACTAGGTTTTTTAAAAAAATCTCACTGGCGTGTAGTGTGAAATTGTGCCCGGTATATGGCAATTAATAATTAACTCCCTACCACATGGGACTCATAAGATGAATAGTGAAAAGTGGGTGTTCCATTGTAATGGCATTAAGTGCCGTAATGTGCATCGCTGCTTACCTCTTCAGTGATAACAGGCGTGATGTTATGTTATGTATTTATAAGTGATTTAACATAAACGAAGCATATTACACAACTTTAACGTATGAAATCTAAATTTTCATTCCACGATGATGTAGCCAGAGTTTTAAATTCAAAATTACCTATAACACCCATTTTAACAATTAGAATTACTATTATTTTCCGTACACTTAACAGAGGGTAAGAACCTGGCACATTTCCAAACTGTATGCTATTACTGAAAATTTCTAACATCAGTAATATCGCTGAGCAAACCTTTTTGTTTAGATAATCTTACAACATTACATTAACAAAAAAATACTAACGACTTCTGCAGCCTTATAAGCGCATGCTAGAACACATTTTGTCGACTGCTTCGTCGGGACCACGTAGTTCTGCAGCTGAACCAGTTCCGTCATGTCCACCTCTCCATCCTTGTTACACTTCATTATCAACTTTGTGAACTCCATCTTGAGCTCTTCTTCTGTTAGACCCTATAGCGAATAGTTAAGTCAATAATGTTATGAAAATATGGATTTTTTGCTCTTAAGTACTAGAATCAGGAACATTGTGTAGAACATTTACTGCTTGTTGAATTACTGTGTCTACCAAAAAAGGCTTATAAATATGTATACATCAAAGCGGTTGTCTATTTACAGCAGTGAAAGCGATTTTATGGGTACCCATACAATTATTATAAAATTCTCGGATGTCACCAAACAACTATAGAAGCAAACAACATTTCTTACTTATGTATGTATGACTTTGTACTTACAAAAGTCGGTTAACCCCGATTTTAAAACATAATGCTGAACAAGTCGTCATGCGACAAAATAATAAAAAATTACTAAGATACTTACTGAACCTAAAAACATTATTAGAAAAATAATGTACAACACAAACAATACAATTCTGTACTATTAATGGAAATATTATTTCTACCGATTACTTATTTTAAAGTCATTCATCAACATACGTTTATCTCAGCACCACTAGATCTTCTTCGAGCCTAAAGAAATATGAGCAAATAATAATTAGGATAACATTTTTAAATATAGAAAAAGATACAAAAGTGTTGGTACTCACATACACACAGCTGCATATTGCCAAAAACACAACCAATAAATTCCACATAGCGATGTCCTATCAAATCCAGAACTAATCAAAACTGAAATAAAACCGCGTATAAATACTGAATTGGCAAATACTCGTATTAAAGGAAATTATATATTTACGATAACATTAAAGTTTAGTTGCTATTACGTAGATTATAGCTTTAATTATAATTTGGAGATTTTACTGTCCAGTTCATAGATAAGAATCTTTTCCATTTTGTAGATATATTGTGTTGATCGAATCTGCATTTCTGCCAACCTATTCGACCTTTAAATCTCAAAGCTAGATATAATCTAACAATAAAAAAAATACATTTAAGTACATACATAATATGAACTTTAGATACAAATAAATAAGATATGAATTTGAAATAACTCAAAAGATTTTATTCAAAAAAATAATAAACGTGTATATTATACAATGATACAGTAAAGGATACAATTCCTACAGCTAGAACAAGATAAACGTAGACAAAATCGGTTTTCTTGAAATCAGGATTCACGGTTCAGTCGTTCTTGTCGCTCAGATTTTATACAAAGTTGAACTGAAAAGATAATAATTATGACATATAATATAACTTTTACAAACATAATAAAAAAAAAACTAATATTCTAATTACAAAAAGAAACGTAAGTATTTAGATTCTCAAGAAACAAGCTATAAAAGAAAAGAGCTGCTGCTGAATTATTGTCGGCAAGCAATATTATTAAGAAATACAGGAGTATTTTTTTACCTTTCAGTTAAGTTAAGTACAACACAAATTTGGTCTCAAAGTAAAATACTCAGGTTACTTCGTGAAATAAAATATACTCACATCAGGAGATTTTTCAATCGTACACTTGAATATTAGAGCAGCTCGGTCGCAGCCTCTTGTTCCATCAGAGACTGGAGCGTCGTTCACTGCAGAAATCGAAGAAATGATTAAATTCTTAACTGTAAGTTTATTAGTCGTACTACCATTTGATAGTATGATATAAAATACATATTATTTTGAATCAACGTAAGTGTGGGAGAGCCATGTTTCGGCTCGAATGGGCCGGCTCGACCGGAGTGATACCACGGCCTCACAGACAACCGACGTGAAACAACGCTTGCGTTGTGTTTCGTCGTGTGATTGAGGTTACCGGAGGCCCAATTACCCCTCCCTAGGCCCCGTCTCCCGAATCCCCGAATCCTCCACAATCCTCAAATTCCCAATTCCCAAAAGGTCGATAACGCACTTGTAACGCCTTGGTGTTTCTAGTGTCCATGGGCGGCTCCGATTGCTTACCATCAGGTGATTCGTCAGCTCGTTTACCGGCTTATGCAATAAAAAAAAATCACACATATGAAGAGCTTCTGACAGCCTACTCTTGGACTATGAGTATCTCAAGTTTATTTTAAAAGGCAGTGCCTCTTACTTCTGCAGTCTCTTAGTGGGCTCTTGTAAAATTATAAGGGATAAGGGCGGTGACAATCGTACTGTACCTACTCTGCTATCATCACACGACTTGTACTTAATTAGACAATTATAAATATTTACCACTTCGGCAAGCTTCGGTAAACTCTTCACTCTTCTGTAACTTCTCTGGATCCTCAGCCAAATACTTTCGTGATATTGCATTGACACCTTCAACTGATAACTCTCCCTGGTCGTTCATCTGAAAAGAAATAATGCAAATTACTGCATGACTGGCACAATGGTTGCTGCGTGTACTGCTGCAATAAAATTGACTGCTGCCTAGCGCGTCAGAAGTTAAGTTTCCACAACAATTCTTTGAGTAATCCACAAATATGTTTATACAAACACACCCACGAAATTGCAAAGTCTCAGTGTTTTTTAAGGGGTAATATCATCGACTGACTTCTTCCGCCTGGGTGAGGCGGGAGGGAGTGTCAGACTCTTACTAACTAAAAACCACCCCGTTTCTACTCCTGCACTACGAGCCGGAGCCGGAGCCCCGCTAACCCGTTATGTTCTCCGCGGCTCCGTAAGTCTCAGTGTGAGGCCACGATTTACAAATATCCAACTTACTAAGTTTATATTTTAATCAAGAAGGATAGTGTAAAATCATCATCATCAGCCTATAAGTGCCCACTGTTGAGCAAACATTTGTAATCTATTTACAGATATAAATATCATTTCATTTTAGTGTAGATTACCTAATTTTAATTTGTTTGGATCATTCTCTATACAACCTAGAATATATCACAATTTTTCATCCATAAAAAACATTCCAGAGAAAAATTGATTTCATACAATATATTCAATACACGTCACCACAAAGGCGACCATCATCAGTTCCATAGGAAAATATATTTCCGGTGGGCAAAGTTCATTACACACGCTGTAATGGCGGCCACGAAGGCTTTGTACACTGTCTACGAACCGTGTAATTGGTGTACTTATCACACGACCTTGCGTAATTTTACATAAGCTGAGAACTAAACTGAAACTACAGATCCGAAATCGCAATAATTAGACTCAAAGCTATTTATTTTATGGCTATTTTAAACCTATTATAGTTAGGTTGTTGTAACTATCGCTAGTGATAACAATATCATGATATAAATGGTGTAATTTGAAGTGGTTTTTATGAGATATCAGTTAATGTAAAATCCTGAGCACGGGTTAAACGACAACGAAGGGAAGAAATATTTTTAAAGTAATGTTACTGACAGATCAGACAGAAGTGTGGGAGAGCCATGCTTCGGCACGAATGGGCCGGCTCGACCGGAGTAATACCACGACATGTCACAGAAAAAAGATGTGAAGCAACGCTTGCGTTGTGTTTCGTCGTGTGAGTGAGGTTACAGGAGGCTCAATTACCCTCCCCTTCCCCAATCTCTCCAATCCCTGAATCCCCAATGATCCTCAAACTCCTAATACCCAAAAGGCCGGTAACGCACTTGTAACGCCTCTGGTGTTCCAGGTGTCCATGCGCGACGCCGATTGATTACCATCAGGTGATCCGTCGACCCGTTTACCAGCTTATGCCATAAAAAAAGAAAAAATGAATTATATTAATGATGGATGTTTGTAATAGTAACTACAGTCTGCTACCCGCCTGCCAAGCATCGATATGATGTTTGTGATATCTTGCACTGAAATTAGTTATTCTCGTAAGTTCCATTATTGTAATTACATAGGTCCAGTGGCTCGTGGACTTTGATATTCGGAAGCAAAAAGTAAACTAGGTATTATTATTTGCAATTATGTGTGCGCATTGATTAAGTTAAGAGACATAGGTATTGCATAGGTTTTCATACAAATTATTAAGTACAAATTCATCGAATCGACTGAACGGATTGTATCAAAAAGGTGGTTGAAAATTATTACCACCACATTTTCTCAATACGGGTTGACGATTTCAAACTTACCTCTATATTAAGAAATTATAAGCCCAGGTTTCCTCACGACGTTTTCCGTCACCGTTGGTCAGTGGTGTCTAAATAATCTTACAAAGTACATATATAACTCGGAAAAAGTCACATAGGTACTTGCTGTTGGGCGGTTTCATACCGGCACTCTCATGCATGAGATACTCTTCTTGTCTTAGACTCCAAGCCACTTCGACATTTTTCGAAAACGAAAAGATTGTAAACAGAGGCAATATTAAATTTCCTTATTAACTTACAAATCACTTCTACGTTCGTTGGGGATCAAACCCACGACACATTGTGGAGCACCTTATTACCCAACCTCTGCTAAACGGAGCAGTCAAGTCATTAGACAATCTATAAATTCTTACCATTCCCGCCAGTTTGTAAACACAGGCAAACAAACATTTGATGGGCTCCTTATCAGGCATAATTCTGTTTTGGAGCTGTTCTGCATCTGCTCGGTCTATAGGGTACTGCTTACTACATTCTAATATGTTGTCCACATACTTCTGCTTTAGATCGTCCATCGATAAAGCCTGGAAAAGAAAATTTCATTAATATTTACATAAATAAAAGATTAGAATTTCTTTACAAAGATAAATGTCACATGATTAGTAACGGTAAAACATACCTCAGCATATAAAGAGAAAACACCAAAGGTGAACAGCAAAAATATCGAATTCAACATGTCTACCAACGAAATCCTACGCATTTATAAAGCAAATGTGTCAAATGATACAAATTATCCTATATATAGAGTTAACAGCAATTGTGAATAACCAGTGGGTAACAACAAAACATTCACACTATTGCAATCAGTAATCCATTTTATAAATATGAAATGAGCATCGTCTATGGCAATTTCAACTTTACACCGAAGTTTTTAAGCTCATGTTAGCATATCCCGATTATTATGAGTATCTACCTGTTTGCTATTATTTGTTTCATAATAGTTTTTTGTTATTACAACATTAAAATTATTGACAAATAAATAATTTGAATCATCCCGTGACAAAACGTTACACGGTATTTTATATAGCAGAAAATGGGTGATTACACAAAAAGAAATAAAAATCAATTCAAATCTTGCTCTGGTTTATATTCGGAATTCCACAAAACACAAAATTTGCTAGAAACAATAATAATGTTATCTTGATCATGGTTCTTCTACGTGTCAGCATATTGACACACATAGAAGAAATTCAATAGAAATACCATTTTAATACTTACAGTCTACAAAGTTCTTTCTTTTTGGAACCATCTTCTACTAGATTTTAGAAGCCAGTCATTAGACGTTCTTGTACTTTGGAATCTGATCGGATAATGATCCTGACAATTTTGGCAACAATTCACTAAGCCCATATCACTGAGTCATCGTGACATTGAAATCTACTTATTAGTACTAATGTGACATGCTTAATTTGATGTTATGAAAAGTAATGACATAGTAAGGGATCTATCATTACTACTTCGTTAGTATATAAATTCGGAAATCTCCAAAAAATATCCATAAGTCTCTGGATTTCATTTTATGAACACTTGGACAGTCCCAAAAATCTAAACTCAAAATGTTCAATTCATCGGTATTTGTGTGTTGTTTGTGCTTCTGTGCTTTAACTCCATATTTAGCTTCTGTAAGTATTATACTATGCCCAATAAAGTAACTAGTATTCTAAATTCATTTATAAAAATGCCATTTTCAATTTTATTAAACCGAACTTTTCATTATATTTGACTGTTCATGGCCACTTATTGGTTAAAATAATAAGCTATAATTATTGAGTACTAATAATGTAAAGAAGGAAATCTTTTTAATCTAAACATAACATGTATTTATACAAATCCTTTTTGAATTAGGCCATGACAGCTGAACAGAAAGCCCTAATTCATGAGCACTTTGAGACGATTGGTAAGTCTTGTAACAAAGACAGCAACATGATAACAGCTGACGATATCGCCAATCTCCGAGCTAAGAAGATCCCGACTGGTCCCAACGCTCCTTGCTTCCTGGCCTGCATGATGAAGCAAATTGGTGTTGTAAGTATAATTAACTATTGCTGGAATACTGAAACGTTGCTCAATTTTAAGTCGTGCTTAAACATCGTGCCATCTCTGTCATTTCACAAAGAATTTATAGTGACAGAACTATACTTAAGCGTGACTTAAAATTGAGTAACGTTTCAGTATTCCGGCATATATCTTCCATTTCCAGTAAAAACTGAAAAGGCAACTCTGACTATAAAACTTCTTTCAATTTGAATGTGATGGCTCCAGGACTTGAAGTAAAGATTTATGATGGAATAATTGATTACTTTCTTAGAGTTAAATGGTTCACTCTGACGTTATTATCCAGCAATGTTTTTTAAGAGACTAATAAAACCGAGTACATATTTAATCACAAAGCTTGTTTAACAAGCATTCCAGAATTGCTCTAACGTTTGAAACTTATACTACTCACGTACTTTCTGATGCCGTACATCAAAAAATAAAAGAACGTTAAATAATTCCAAAACTCGATGATTTCCAGATGGATGACAATGGCATGGTGCAGAAGGAAACAGCACTCGAAATGGCTAAAGCGGTATTCGACGATCCAGAAGAACTGAAGGCAATCGAAGATTATCTGCATTCCTGCTCACACAGTAAGTTAACTCTGTCTTATCTTACTAATATTATAAGAGTAAGTTTGTGATGATGCACGTCAATTTGTTTATTGTTCATCATACTAAAACCGACAATAATTATAAGTGAAAGAACAAATTCATACGTAGGGAATTCAGAATCGCAATAGATTCTGGTTCAGGCGTTCTGAGTTGATCTGCTAGATGAACTTTCCTTTTCGTATCAAGAAAATCCTCATAGGATTACCCTCCATAAATATAAATGAAGAACAGTACTTTATCAATCATAATTACAATAGTTTTAATTGTATTTTAATTGACCTGTATAGTTTTTTTATTCAATTCTCCCCCATTACAATTTCAGTTAACACTGAATCGGTCAGTGATGGTGCTGCTGGTTGTGAGCGCGCTATGCTGGCGTATAAATGCATGACAGAGAACGCTTCTAAGGTACGTATTTTGATAATATTATTATTTTCTAATAATACATACTATTAATAGGATTTAGGTAGGTTTGGTAAACTTTACTCCACACTAGGGTTTTCTCCTGTGTCGTGATTCCGTTTACAAACATATAAGTTCACATACACATGACACTCAGACCCGAAACAACAATTTGTGGATTACACAAAAATATGTTCCGTGCGGGAATCGAACCCGTTAAACGTTGCTCGACAAACGGTTGCCCAGCCACTGCACCAACCTTACAGTCTTCATTAACATTCAAAGAAATCCAAACAGCAATAGCAATGGTTTAAATAACTTATTCTTTGAAGTTGTATAATATGCCTCTCAGGAGCCTCAAACAATCTCAGCATGTCTCAAATGGCAGTTTTTCAAAAGGGTGCTCAAAAAAGTAGCCAAATCTAGAAGAAAATTAACTTATTGGTTAATTTTTTACTCTGGTAACCTGCTATCAAGAAAATTTTGTCCAGACACCGAAGAATAAAGACCTTTTAAATAATAAAGTTTGTTATTTTTAATATTCGTCACTTTTTAACCTAATTTTGATAATAACTAATATTATGAAACAGAATTTCACTCAAATTTCTTATTGCTTACCAAGTAAGTTTCTAAAAATATGTTAGAAGAACTTAGGAACTCGATTTGAGTAATAATCAACTTACATTTTCTTCTTTTTCAGTTTGGCTTTGACATCTAACTGAGCATCATTTTAGATAACTGACGCCCTCTACGAACATACGAGATGATTTGAAGAATTAAGATTAACCCCTAAAACTATGTTATGTTAATTTAAGTTACATTTGGAATGGATTAAATTGTTGTTTAAATAAGTACTTCATTTGCTTTCTATTTGAAGATAAATTTGTCGTAACACAAAAAGCTGGCAATTCTGAGACAAGATGCATTATAGGAGAATGTTCTTGTGTTGAAACTTATGAATCAAACCAAGACATTAAATGAACATTGCTTTATTTATATATTAACTACAAATTAAATAAACATAATAAATTACAAAACAGAAACAATTCGTGCCTCTTTCGGTATTGGTTTAAATCTTATCCGCATCTCCAAACGCTTTAGAACGGCATCTGGAAAAAGTAGTGCAAAAAATTAATGATATGAAAACTCCATTATATCTAAATGACTATGTTGAATAAAAACATAATTGGGCTTTTAAAATTTAGAATAGATACAAGGATGAATATGAATAAATAGTTTTGTCCTGTAATCCTATCATAACTGACTTATTTTAGGGAATAATAAGCTGTATCGCTGAATCTGTTAAAGTCATACCTTCAGGATAGGCAACTTAAAGTACAGGTAAACAAAGTAAACTCACAGGGTGCTAGCATGTCTATGGGAGTACCGCAGGGCTCAATACTAGGTCCATTCCTATTTTTAACATATATAAATGATTTGCCATATTTATTTCAAAATGAACCACATATTGTATTGTTTGCTGATGACACATCATTGGTTTTTAAAATAAATAGACGAACAAATAATTATGACGACGTAAATAATGCTCTGATGAAGGTTCAACATTGGTTTACAATAAATAACTTAGTGCTAAACGATAAGAAAACGAAATGTATTAGATTTGTTCTGCCAAATGTTGGAAGTAAGGAATGTGACATATTATTAAACAGTCGGAAATTAGAATTTGTAAAAGAGACTACATTTCTGGGAATTACTGTAGATGACAAATTGCAATGGGGTCCTCATATTACATCTCTAGCGGGACGATTAAGCTCTGCAGCTTATGCTGTCTGGAAGATCCGACAGTTAACCGACATAGACACGGCAAGACTAGTGTACTTCAGTTACTTCCATAGCATCATGTCGTATGGCATTTTGCTGTGGGGACACGCTGCGGACACTGAGTCTATCTTTATCTTACAAAAGCGCGCCGTCAGAGCTATCTACAACCTGGGTCGTCGCGAATCTCTCAGAGAAAAGTTTAAGGAGATCAACATTATGACCGTTCCATGTCAATTTATTTATGAAAACATTATGTATGTTAGGAAGAACCTACAGTTGTTTGGTAAAGTGTCTGACAGACACCACTATCAAACTAGACATAGGGATAGACTAAGTCAGCCACTATTTAGATTGACAAAAGTACAAAAGTCCTTTATGGGATTCTGTGTTAAATGCTATAATAAAATTCCGGAGGAAATACAACATTTAAATGAGTCAAAATTTAAATTATATATTAAAAAAACGTTATGCGGAAAAGCATACTACAAACTTAATGATTACATAGAGGATAAAAATGCTTGGAGGCATGCTGGTCCGGCTCCACAGGATAGCGAAAAACATTGATGTTCCAATGAGTTCCAATCATGTCAAATACAGCCATTTTGTTCAAATGTACACACTGTAAAACTTTATATAGGTAACTATTGTAAATGTGAGAGCCCTGTAACTACCTAAATTAAATTAGACTAGTAGAATGCATGTGTGTCAGCCTGGAGTTGTCATGCTCACTCAAAAGTCTCATTGGCAGTGGCACGGGCAGTGGATCGCTCGATTCCCTATAACATGGTCGAGTTGGGCGGTGCTGGTGTACGTGTCATGTTCGTGAACGGGCGCTGTCAAATGGGACTGGTCAGCTCCGGACTGTATTAAATTTGTTATCCTCAAGGTTATTTTCTTTTTCCGTCTCCTTGACCAAATATTGGTATTACATTGTTCTCACATTATTGAACTCAACGGAAGAATGTAACCAAAAATTGTATTGTGAATATGATTGAAAAAGAGTAACCTATGGAGTTTCTTGCTCGTTCTTCTCCATAGGAATCTACACTTTGGAACGAGCAAATAGCTTCACTAGAGGACTGACTTACAGACTGACACATTTTCTTTTCTTATTATTTAGTATTTAAATATTTTGTTTTGACGTTCAAAAGTGCCTTACTGGTCTAATTGAAATAAATGATTTTGACTTTGACTTTGACTTTGTATTTCGTGCTAGATATAATTCAAAATATACTCACCTCAACTTTGTGCTCTATGAAGCAACCCAGAACAAGCTTGGCTCTGTCACAACCCGCTTCACCGTCGCTTACAGATTCATCATTAACTGTAAAAATATTAGGCACTTAAGTAAACTACATACAATGCCAACATAGAGTAATTAAATAACCGTTGTGTCATAATCAATACCATTATTTGATAAAAGTTTAAAAATGTCTGAGGATAAACAATAAATCTAATAAAGTGATAATACTAAAAAAAAGTAGCTCCATATCTTTACATAGCACACCGTAGAGATCACTAAACAATAAGAATTTATTAGCAGAACAATCTTGAACTCATGTTTTTACATTTTTAAGCTTATTCTCGTCCTCAAAAATGGAGCACAGAGTCGTCGAAACTGTTCTATAGTAGGACCAGATACGAACCTTTAAGGCATTTCTTGGCGATATCTTCGAATTTGGCGAATTCATCATCGTCCTTGACGAACTTTCTTAGTTTACCAAGTCCAGTTTCAGCGTCGTACAAGCCTTTGGCATCCAGCTATAAATAAAAGTCCACAGTTTTACTTTCATTGACAACATTATTTACTAAATATTCATCTATATAATTATAATACACTGGGTCTCTGTTATCTTTTTACTGATTTATATTTGTTCTACAAAAATTGATACTTTAAAAATTCGTAGTGAAAAAGTTCAACTTTGTTAACATTTTTGTTTAAAAATCTATTAGCAAAAGTCGCAAGATCATCGAAATGTCACAAATCTTTCATACATTCTATACGTACCACTTCAATTTTCTTCATCACACAGCCTAAGAAGCAGGGTTTGATATTATCAGCACTGGCTGACTCCTTCGCGGCCTTAATGTCAGCCTCACTCACTCCATGTTCTTCGGAACACTCTGCTATAATGGGTGCCATCGCCTCACGGAAGGCTTCCTTCTCTTCTTCAGTAACTGCTGCATGCTGAAATAATATGATAGGAATTAGAACCCAGTCACCATTATGGAAACCGACACCAGCCAGATATGATAACTTTGTATTAATTAACCTAGTAGATTCTAGGATCATGAAAATTTCTGAACATCAATAGGCATTTTGAAGAACTGCTTGGATGTGATACTTACAGAAACCTTGGTCAAGCTCGCAGCCACAACACAGAGGATAATGCAGGTAAACTTCGACATCTTTTTAGATTTCTTTGGCGTTGCACTAGATCCTGTGACTGTCCAAAATGTTATGCTGTAATCTTGGCTAGTTACCTTTTTATATCAAAATCTGTCTTGTACATAAAGTCGTCGTGATGCGAGGCAATTATTATAATATCTCACCAAGGTTTACTCAATGTTACAAAATACAACAAAAAAGCTGACTTTTTGGACATTATCTACGTACCTACTTCCTTAAGTAGAGGAATTTTCTATTGTTTCAACAATATTATTAGTAGCCACGAATTCGCACTGGAACTTCTTTAGATAAACAATGACTAAGGCTTAATTGTTTTTTACCCATTTTTTTAGACTCGGTTTTAGCACTTGATGATTATATTGAAACTAAGTGTTCATATATCCTAAGTTTACATCAAAATGAAACATTCTAGTTTTAATAAATAATTAATGAAGACGTCGGTATCATAAAATTTACATAGCATAATTATTTTAGATACGCATATTGTGGTTATGACCCTAATGAATGAACTTTAAAAATATTCTCTTAGCATGTGTAACATTCATTTTTACGTGCACGTGCAAATACAGAAAGCGACATGAAAATCATGTATTTTATTTATTTCTTTAATTATAATTTATGTACGCACAAACAGCACAGAGGATAACACATATATAAAATAAGAGTACATAGGTGCTACTTATTCCTGTTGGAATTTCTTCCAGTAGACCTGAGACAGGAAATGTAATTAAAACATATAGTAAGACACAGTGTGTAATAGAAGAGAAAAAAAATTACGATAAGAATTATCAGGTATCAAAGAATTTAGAAAATTAAAGTCAAGATCAAATAGAAATTTATCGGAGTTCTGGATCTTCTTTAACTTAACTTGTCGAGTACCTACCGTCATTATAGACACAATTATAGAACAATAGGTTGCGGTCACCGGCGACCGCTTGGTGTTTGACAGTTTAAAAGAGTCATTATATATAATTGCCATAATAATCCTTTCATTCAAAACTAGATCAAACTCCTCCATGCATCTAAAAGGTCCACCAATTTGCAAATTGCAGTATCATAGTTACTCCCTAATATCTATTGCAACATCATAAACTGACTACTCAACATTTCAGTCTCCTAAATTGCACTTGTCACTTTACATCAAATTAGTGTCATTTCGTCCTCGAAAATCGTCGAAAATTGCTAATGGTTTCGTGAAAAAGTCTTGAGCATTGTTGTTAGAGCAAATAGCTGACAGTCAAGACATGGGTGTCCAGCTAGGCAGACGTCTGAAGAAACGTAGCTAATATTTGATAAATAAGTGCATAGCATTTGTGGTTAGGGAAACACAATATTGAAATTCAGTAAATGTGAATATTTCTGTAGTTTTGTGTCAGGTAATATATTATCAGATTCATCTTCAAGAACTCGTGACAGTCCATGCACTGTTGGACTATGGACCTCCTATAAGTAAGAGAGGTGTTCCATAACCTCCAAGCTTAGCAGCTGGGTTTGAGATCGTTAGAAAGTTGAGGTTTATTAGTACAGTTTTAAGTGTGAGAGTTCGGCACAAATGGGCTGGCTCCACCGGAGTGATACCACAGCCTCACAGAAAACGACGTGAAACAACACTTGCTTTGTGTTTCGGCAGTCGTGTGAGTAAGGTTACCGGAGACCCAACGACATTCTACGAATCCCCAACATTCCTTATATTCCTAATCCGAAAAAGGCCGGTAACGCTCTTGTAACACCTTTTGTGTTCTTTTTTTTTTAAGGGGTGAAAATCATCGAATGACTGCTCCCGCCTGGGTGAGGCGGGAGGGAGTGTCAGACTTTTAATGACTTAAAACCACCCCGTTCCTACTCCTGCACTTCGAGCCAGAGCCCCAGTAACCCGTTAGGTTCTCCGCGTGTCTATAAGAAATGTACGTCTTTTGTGTTCTAGGTGTCCATGGGCGACGATACCGATTAGATGATCCGTCGGCTCGTTTACCGGCTTATGCCATAAATAAAAAAAGATCTGTACAACTGGGTATCTGTTAAATGTTTTGTCCTATATTTAGCTTTTATAAAACGTTGAGTGACTTTAAAACCCAATTCCTCCCGGGTTTTAACGTTACTCAGGCAGTGAAATATAACGCAAGCATTGTTTCACGTCGGTTTTCAGTGGGGCCGTGGTATGACTACGTTTGAGCCTCACCATTCGTGCCAAAGCATGACCGTACACCGACACTCTATGACATTTTTTCACACTTTTTGCTTTATTGGCAAACTGTAGGTGTGATACTTATCAGAGGTAAGTTTGTAAAAATTTGGTTTTTTCATAAATAACTTAGGCAGGAATAAAACCGTTTAAAAAGTTGACATTTTAATTGATATGAAGATGCACCTAGATATCAAGAACATTAACTTCAATTCAAACTCGAAGCTCAAGGACTTCTCAGTGTATGACGCATGTAGCACTAATTCCACTCATACCTAGATTTAATTACTTACTAATTAATTATATAGTTTTTAAGAACTTTGTTAAAAATTAAAACAACACACAGCTAATTAAAAATTTAATTTTATTACAATAACAAAATACATTTTCGTTTTGATTTATCTATCTGTATCATGGTGTTGATGAGTCTCTATAGCAGATAGTTAAGCTAGGACCTGAAAATAAAATAATATTATAGTAGGTATGTATGTATTTCAACAGTTACCTTTATGGAACATATTGCAGGATCTACAGCGAGCGGAGAACAATCACAAAAATACGGGGATAATTAAGTTCTGGTGCAACCCAGGATAATGAACAATCTTGCAACGACGCAAAACTTTAATGGATTCTTTATAATAAATGTTAATTGTTTGTGAGGTGCATTTGATCCCAGTACCAAATAAATATGGTGAAACGAAAACCCCCAAAGACGTAATCTGTTGACGTGACAAATTTAGTTTCGTTTTATAACGTGAAATTTACGGAAAAGGCAAGTAAAGTAGGAAAATAAATGACTGTTTTTATGGCTCACAGGGCACATAAACGAGTCATCTAATGTTAAGCAATCAGCGCTGCCTATGGTAGTTGTAAATCATTATCATCATCTTCTCATCATTTCAGAAACCAAATTTTGCTTACAGCAGTTTTATGCTCCAAATAGCACATGGCTCCCAGTAAAGCCCTTTCGCACCCAGCTTCTCCGTCACTGACAGATTTTTCGTTTACTGAAATAAGAATTTTAAAAAAAATTATTAAATTTTTCGTATTTTGATATCGCACATATAGGCAGTTAAGTAATGATTTATATTATAAGAAAACTTCTTACCTGACTCGCAATCTTTCAAAACTGCTGTTATCTTTTCGAAGTATTCATTACTTGGCAATAATCCTTTGATTGTGGCTATACCAGAATCTGCGTCATATTGACCTTTGTCGTTTATCTGGAGCATGAAATTAATCAATTTAAACCGAAGCATAAAATTTTACATACCGTCTCAAAGTCTACCAGCCTAAATACAATATTCAATTATTATATATTTATTCAGTTCTGTATCTGTTATACTCAAAAAAGTCTAATGCCGAGTCTACGTGTTTGGCAAACGATAGCAAACAGCAAACAGCAAACAACAAACAAAAACGAGAACATCTGGATGGGTGTTTGTTTGTGTGTCATGTGTGTCTGTCCTTATTATTTCTTATTCAAATGAAAGGCTGTTCACCAAATAATTTGCGATGTATCCACACCCTTGTTGACAACACACATGTTGTGTTTGGTGTTTGTGGTAAGCATCAAGTGTGTGGATGGGGCATAAAAGAGGCGTTATTACCTACACATATTAGGTTAACTCACAATATCAAGTTTGTTGAAAACACAGCGTATAAAGCATGGAGGTAAATTTTTCAATCCATCCAGACCCCGGTTTTTCTTAACATCATCTTCGCTAAGTCCATATTCTTTTGCACAATCCATTACTATGGGTTTAATAGCTGCATGGAAAATAGAACAGGCGTCCTCGCTCGCCTATTAAATAAAAAAACATAAATTTTGAACTTCAAATTTCTAAGGAGAATTGTAAAATCGGTTGACATAAAAAAAAATCTTAGTTTTATTCATAATAACATATTATTTAATGTTTAAGATTTTGAAATCACAAATAAAATATGGTGATAAAAAAGCTCAAAATACTTACAACGAAAACACATAACCTCATTGCTACTGCACAAAAGACAATACAAGAAAGTTTAGACATATTGATATATTTTTTGCTCTGTGCACTCAAACTCTCCTTTGAATTATCAAATATGTTATGCCCTGAACATCAACTTTACGCTTATTTATATGAAATTTTAAAGTAATTGTTCATAATAGCGACAATGTTATATTTATTTAAAACGTAGCAAAAACACCTTATCTCTTATATCTTCTTGTTAAGCCTCATTTTTGAAATTGGCTTATTTTCATGTTATGTCAAATTTTAGAATAATTTGGTTAACGATTTAATGCATTTGCACATGACAATGTAAACATTATTTGCAAATTGCTCTAAGTTACATTTTAGCCTTCAAATTTTAATGTTTATTTTGCACTGAATCCGCATTTCATTTGAAAACCTCGTTGTCCAGCTTCAAACCGAGTCTCTGTTTTTAAAATCTTGGTCACATTACATTTAATTTTTTCACTACCCAAAGGATGACTGGCAGAGAATGCTGTTAGCATTAAGTCTTCCTGGTGCAATTGTATGAAACTTAAATAAATAAATAAAAATTACACGACATTACAGCCAAGGATACACTAGGGGACATATAAATGTCCTGCAACACGTGTCGTCAGGGACGTTGGGTAAAGTAGTACGTGCGACTTTGGTCGACATGTCTGGCAGCATCAACGTCGCTGTGGACATAAGTCGCGCGTTGTTACTGTATATGTCAGGCGACATCGGCCGGCTTCGCTCGATATGTGGCCGATACATGTATTGGGACATTTGTTCTCTATTGTATCCTTGGCTTTCAAATGAGGTAAAGGGTTGAGTTAAGTTCTATGAACCTCTATCTGCCATTTTAGGTAGGAGATATTAGAATTAAAGACTACCCACTAATTGACCGATGAGTCAAAAATTTCCACCAGCGATTGTCAATTATCTATAAATGTTCTATTTCCTGTCATATATGGTAATCCCCCTAAATTCATGTGTTCGCAAACAAATTACTTTATAGAGGCAAATTTATTTTATTTTTGTATACCAATTTATCATCTACCTAGTTACATATAAGTAACTAGGTACTTACGTACCTACGTACATTGCTACTGAATATAACTATTTAGGCATTTAATTTTAAAATCAGGTATGTTATAATTGTAATTTTATATTTTAACACGTGCAAGAGCCATGTTTAGGAAGGCATGGCTTGATCAGATTGATATCACACCCTCACAGAAATTCGGCAGGAAAATTTTCGGTAAAATCGGTATTTCACTATATGAATGAGGTTACTAATGGCCCAATCTTCTCTCTCAATAGCAACCCCAAAATAGGAAGGCAATTCTCGAAGCGTAGTAGCTCCTCTAGTGCTGCGGGTATCCATGAACGGCGCCTTTGGTTTATCATCAGATGATCCATCTACTAGTGGCATGATTAAATCATGACATGGCATCAGAATTATGATTAAAATATAAAGTTTAATGATCATTTTCAATTACTGATTTTTGAAATAATGTATTAAGCTAAAAGGCTCTCCAACCTGTAATCTAGATTCAAACCTAGTAACTTAGTCAATGAAAAAATAGAAAACATGGACTTTTTTTAAGGATGGAAAATCATGGAATGTCTTCTCCCATCCGGGTGAGTCGGGAGGGTGTGTCAGACTCTTACTGAGTAAAAACCACCCCGTTCCTACTCCTGCACTTTGAATGTGTAATAAAAGAGTCCACCAAAAGAAAGGCTGGAAAACTGAAGAAAGCTCGCCCATGGCGCTAGTAGTGCTAAAACTGGTACTGCACATATAAATTAGAGTTCTAATGTTGTACCATAACTCTCATATAATCTTCTACCTATGTCCTTATGAAAGGTTTGTTGAGTGTTCTTCCTTCCTTCCTCCATTTAGTCCTGCTTGTGGCTGTTCAATTTATAGCCTAGCCAGTTTAATAAATGGCATCGTCTAACAATCCCTGATCTCTATTCAGTCAGTCATTTTATTGACGTTGCATGGTTTTACTCGATCTCGTTTAAGAAAAGTTGGTTGACATCTGATAGTTTGCCTAGGTATTAGTCACTGCTGGACTAATGTCTAGGCAAACTGTTTGATGGTATAGTCAAGACATACGCCCAAATACTGAAAGGCTACTCAATTTTAAGTCGCGCTTAAGTTATAGTTCTCTCACTACAAATTCTTTGTAAAATGATAGAGATAGCACGATATTTGAAGGTGCTTGACACACCAACTCAACACGGGCACCGCAATGCTGAATTTTTAAAGTTGTAGAAGTTTGATAACAAAATGTCACGATTTGACTACAAAGGCAGATGGGTCAATATATATTTGTGATAACAGGGCCACTCTCTTGAAAGCGTGAACCGTAGTCTAAACTAATCTATATCATCTATCTTCTTCTTCTATATAATAAAAATGAATTTCTGTTCGTTAGTCTCGCTAAAACTCGAGAACGACTGAACTGATTTGGCTAATTTTGGTCTTGATAGGTTCGTGGAAGTCTAGGGAAGGTTTAAAAGTTGAGAAAAAGCTTTTAGGCGGTACGAAGTTTGCCGAGTCAGCTAGTATTATATAAAAATGAAACCCGTTTCCCGTGTTGTCCCGCCATAACTTGAGAATGGCTGGACCAATTTGGCTGATTTTATTTTTGTTGTGTTTGTTATTGTCAGGATAAGGTTCTTATGATAGAAAAAAATCCTGAAAATCTTATGGGAACGGGAGAAAACGGGATTGCGCGTACGAAGTCGCGAGCAGAAGTTAGTAATAAGATAAAATAGTGTACAACTGTATGCATATAACACTTTAATAATAATTAACAATTCGGTACGGGTGTTTTGTAATATTTCCATATTGACGATCATTTTCTAAAGTCAAAGAATTGAATTTATTTTCTAGAATCTTCTAGAATTAAGTTTCTCATATCTTCTATGTAGCATTTTGCAAGCTGGAGCCCTCTGTCGCATTCTGCTTTCGAGTCGGTCCCTGTTATTTTCTCCAAAGCTGAAATAAAGTTATTAAGCCAGTTTAAAAATTATGAAAACAGACAATATATTTCAGAATACAGTTCTTTATGACATTTTAAGACTCGAATGATGAGAAAACATTTTCAGTTACGGAATTGAAAAAAAAGTTGTTTTGATTTTTAAAGTACTTTGTTCGATATAATTTCTTTCATGCGTAAATTTATACCTGCATCACACTTTACTACGATTTCTTCAAATTTGTTAAATTTTGCTTCACCCAGAAAAGCTAAATCTTCCTTTTTATAACGAGTATGTGTTACCTCCGGATCATATTGACCTTCACTATTGAGCTGAAATAAAATAATTATATCAGCTACGTATAAAACATGTATATTAAGCAGCCTTTTAAGTCATAAACGGGGAACGCATATAACTTGACAAATAACACAGCGAAGTTTTTTTTTGTGGGTAATTAATTATTTTTATATTGAGAACAAAAACAGAAACAAAACTTTCATCGAGAAGGCTGGGGCAAAAATATCAAAATACTTACAAAACCTATTGTCTTGAAACTGCAAGCCCAGAAACAGGGATCAACCGAAGACACGTCGTTATTTTCAAACGCACCCTTTTCTGTCATTGGAATGTCAAACTTTTCAATACATTCAAAGATGGCTTCTTTATCGTAAGGCCTTTTATCTGCCTGTATTAAAAAAAATGCAAATATTATTTCTATTTTTGTACACAGATAAACAGGTGTGTTAAAGAAATCCATTGCAAAAGACGAACGGGAAACTTCGTTTGCCAATTTTCAGTAAAAATTCCACAATTCGAATTTCTTCGAAAGATACAAAAGAGGAGAGATGCAGAGAAGAATTTATAATTAGATTGAATTTTTATTTGAAGTTAGATAATATTTGTATATTACTGTAAAAAATTAAGACACGCACTAATCCCCCCACAGTTTTTATAAGATCCCTTCGGTTTCCCTTGGATCGTCAGATCCGAACGTGATGGAAATGGGAACACCTCGAGAGTATTTCCATTCAAAACCGAGCTCTTTCGAGATAAAAAAAGCTCTTTTCTGGAAAGTCGGTTAAAAATATTCAAATTTTTCATACTAACACACACAACGCTAATGCAAATCACTGCAAACCAAACTGGACTTGAGAACGACATGTCGCTTGACAGATTATTACCCTTTTCCTACAAATCGTCGACTGTTTTTGTCATATATATCGACTTTGAAGCATCTAATATACCTACTCATAGTAACAATTTATTTATTTAAAAATTGTAATTTTATCCACTAATCATACCTATTTTACCATTTTATTACACATATTTAGACTTATTTTAGTTAATGGTAGGTTTGAGTTTAAGCGCAAAATAGCATTATTTAAATCAGAATTACTATTCTAGCAACATGAGTACCATCTATAAAGTGACTGTGACATACGCGCATAGTCTCTGTAGGCCAGCTCTTTAAAAAAATTAAAAATAAAATGTACTAAAAGTAAAGTCACTATGTTGCGGATAATTTGAAATGAATAGGTAACTGTTGACATAGAAACTGTAAGTTTTATATTATTTAATTTGTACCAGATTCTTCTATTCAATAATGATTAATTATTTACTATGAGCCCCTAGCATGACTTGAAACATGTTTAGTTACCTCGTCAAAGAGTTACGAGATTCGTGTGTAAGTCATATAAAACAAATTATTGAAATTATCCACGAAGTGAAATTTTAATACAAATTTTCTCCAGTTTTTTTCAAATTACTTTCTTTCAATAATGTTTTTTTTTTACACGGGGTACATTACAAATCACTAGCAGTTTCACTTGTATTGTGATTACGTCAATGAGGAACATAATTTAAAGGAAACAAATAAAAGCACATAGTAGGACGCAAGAAATATCAGCTTTGTTTATATTCATCATGTCAATGTGTAAAATAATTAAACAAAGAAACGTCACACCGTACCAACACAGCTTTATTGTAACTTTTTTTTGCTAACTTTATTTATTTGAGCAGGTTTTTGTTCAATAACAAACATTACATTCATTTTATGGAATAGTTGGCAAACGAGCACATGGATCAGCTAATGGTAAGCGATCAGCACCGCATCAGACGAGTCACAGGTGTGTTGTCGGCCTTATTATGTTTACTGTAGCTCCAACATTTAGTAAAAGTGTCGATCACTACCACCGTCTAAAAAGCAGGATACCAACATGGCTGCTCTTTCACATCCAGCGTCCCCGTTATTTACGATTTCATTGTTTACTGAAATGTGAAAGAAAATAAATTAGGTATGATCCTCTGCTCATTGTAATATTTTATCAATTTCTGAAGATTCTCAAAAACATATCAGAACTTAAGCATCCTCTAAAATCAACTAATATTTCACCTTAAGATATGAAATCAAAAAAATTCTAATGAACTATTTCGTTGCCTTTACCTGTTTCGCACAATTTCGCTATTTCTTGCACTTCTTTATAGTCATCATCACGGAATGTAAGTTTAATGAAAGGTAGAGTAGCCTCTAAATCATAAAGCCCTTCTTTGTTCAACTGCAATAGACGATAATATTAAATTTTTGACACACCATTTTACCCTGAAGGGAGTGGTATAGATATAGTATTAACTTTAATCTCTACAAAATTATTTCATACTGACCTTATGGCTTGTATTGTTTCAAGCATGTGTAAATTAAACTACTACAAATTCTAAAACTGACAGGGGTGATTCACCCCTGTCATGTACCCTGTGATTCACCTCTCCAACACTTGGAACTCCTCTGGTATGGCAGGTGTTCATGGGCGGCACTGATTGCTTACCATCAGGTGATCCGTCTGCTTGTTTTTTTCCTAGGGATAGGCCTTTAAAAGGGTTTATAACAATACTCACAACTCCAGTACCCTTGAAGCAACAGCTCCAGAAACATGGATCGATGGCATCCACATCACCTGATCTCAAGGCAGTTCTAAGGTCATTATCTGTGACTCCAAACTTGTAAGCGCATTTCGCCATAATCGATTGACGTCTGTTGATGGCCGATTCCACATCTTGGTATGCCTTTGAACAAAAATGCATGAATCTACAAACCGTTCATTCTTATCGTATGATTAAAAACGTAATACTTAAAATAATTCGTAATATTCAAATGTTTACTTACATAAACATATTTATAACAACTTATGCTTACTATCACTAAAGAAAATACTAAATAAATAAACTTAGACATGTGTTATTTGTACAGTTGACCTTCTTAAACCTTCAAAATTCATGTGTTAGCTGTATACTAACGCAAAGGCCTTTTTATATGTATAACAACTACATTAAACTCATAGAAGTGATTATGATAATTTTCGACTAAATGTGTTCATAATCTGCCGGTATTCTGACAATCCATTATCTTCATTGTGAATTGGTCAAAAGTTTCCGAAAATTCGCAATTATTTTAATAAAAATACGTAAACTGTAGACCATTTGTGATGTGATCATCAAGTGACTCAGGTGCTAAATAATGTTTGTTTTTGATGTACACATTAGGTAGGTCTAGTTGGTAGTTCCAACTAGGTATATATAAGGTAGACAAGCGAGGAATATTTGATATGATCTGGATTTAATTTGTGCGCCCTACGGATACTACTTTACTCATGGCTCGATACTATTATCGAGCAATCCTATGATGACAATCCGACATGGTCATCATTTATTACCATCACGGGATGGCAATCCGACAGAGTCATTACACGACCGAGTGTAATGAGTGTAATGAATAATTTAAGCGCAGAACCAACAACTTTATATTTATTTCAAGATTATCCGTGCCATATAGGCATAGACAAGGGTATACGTGGTGACCTGTTTAGATGGTTCTCATTATATATCTATTAAAAATAGGAGTCGGATTGTTGTTCTCAATGGTTACTCGTCAACGAGGGCGACAGACATTCCTTTGAGGTCCCACAAGGATCCTTGTTAGGGCCATTATTGTTCAATATATTCATAAATGACGTCACAACATGTTTGAAGTCATCTAAAATATTATTGTACGCAGATGACATAAATATACTATATAAAATAGAGGTATGGTCTCTTGACGACACAGTTAACTTGCAGGATAATCTCGATCGGTTTCAGGCGTCATCATCATCAATAACTTAAAAGTGCCCACTGCTGCGCAAAGCCTCCTCTTACACGGAGAAGGTGTGAGCATTAATCACCAATCACGCGTGCTCAATGAATTACAAACTTATAATTAAGAATTATAAGCCCAGGTTTTCAATTTCACGATGTTTTCCCACATCGTTTGTCAACGGTGTCTAGATAATCTTAGAAAGTACATATAGCTCGGAAAAAATCACATTGGTACTTGCCGTTAGTAGGCTTCGAACATGAAAGCTGGGCGTCTTAAACCTCTGGGCCACCACGACTTTAGGCGTACTGCACTAGAAACAAGTTGGATCTGAACGTATCAATAAATTGTCAATACACACTGTCGGGTACCACAATAGCTAGAGTTAGTACCGTCAGGGACCTACGAATAACATTTGACTCTGTTATTCGATGTACACATTTTTAACGCAATTGATAAGGCAAATAAAGCGTTAGGTTTTGTTTTAAGGGTGTCTAAAGATTTCTAAAACTGAACATCAAAACAATAAAAATATTATATTTTTCTTATGTTCGCAGTCACCTGAATACGCTTCACAAGTATGGAATCCCAACTACGATACCTACATAAAACGTCCAGAAGAAGTTCCTGAGGTATATTCAACATCACACTGGTACATATTTGCCTGAATATTTCAGCCGCTGCCGAAGGTTTTACTTGCTTCCACTGCAGGAGCGAAGGAAAATAGTGGACATTTTCTTTCTACGGAAAGTCTTGATAAGATTGGTGGACGTATTCGAGCTGGTGAGCAAAGTTGGCTTGCGCACCTTCTACATTGTTAAGAAGGCATAACCTTCCGCATAATCCTGCCACTGTAAGCATTTATCGGCAGAATTCATTCATGGTCAGGGCTTGTCACACGCTTAATACAGTTTGTAGGGAGGTGTGCATTGATATCTTTAACATCAGTGTGACGAAATGAGATGATGATGATGAGAGGATGATGTGTAACCACTTTTTCACACATTGTAACTAGTCACTTGGATTCGTTCTGGGTCGCCTGTGCTTTCTTAGTTTATAAAAAAATAAAAAAATCTTTTTGGTTATGCTTCTGTTGTTTGCTTTTTTTTATAATTTTTTTTTCGTATTGCTTACTGACATATTGAACAGAGGATAAGTATGTGAGTGGTTGAAAGTTGTGATTTGTTGACTACTGTCGGCAAATCGCGATATTTAACACCTTGAACGCCATGGGGGACAACGTATGGTCCACGCTAGCGGAGGATTTACCTTCAACAGTTTTCTGTCGGCAGTCAAAGCCTTAACTGCCTAGTAAATATATGCGAAAACTTATAATTGGCCTTACTTTAAACATTGTTATATATTTGTCAATTCTAGGTGTAAGACTTCGTCCGCGTAGAATATGAATATTAAAACAATTTTTTTTTGTTTCGATTTTTCATTAGGTAGATTACCTATGTTACTCTTAAGTACATCAGCTTCCTGGAAATTCTTGCAAAATTGGTCCAACCATTCCAGAGATCAGCCAGTACAAACAGACAGACAGACAGACAAAATTGTAGAAAAATTATGTTGGTATGTGAATTACACATAGGACAGGATTTTTTTTTTTTTAAGGGGGGAAAATCATCGAATGACTGCTCCCGCCTGGGTGAGGCGGGAGGGAGTGTCAGACTCTTACTGACTAAAAACCACCCCGTTCCTTCTCCTGCACGTCGAGCCGGAGCCCCGGTTACCCGTTAGGTTCTCCGCGACACATAGGATAGGATAGGATAAGTACATTAAAATAGGGTTTGAATTCATTTATTTCTAAAAGATTACAAATCACTTGTACAGAAATAAATACTTAAACAAATTTTACATTTTTTGATTTGTCCAAGAGCAACAAGAGGTTGTAATAGCGGTCACAATTTTAGGATTTTAACATTAACATAATAATTTATTACGACAAAGTAAGCAAGTTTATATGGAGGTATTCGTTAAAATATTTAATGACAAATATCTCACGGCCTACCGCCGTGTGCTGCATTGATGCGGCCCTCTGTGCGGTTCATTTGTAGGATCAAATTAATTATATAACATTCAGTGTATTTTAACGTTTAATATTTCATTCGCGTATTTCGGAAAAAGTGTTATTAAAATATTAATAATCAACACGAAACGTATTTGGGAAGTGTTTCTTTGCATTATCGAATAAGCAATCTGCTAGTAAACCACTCTTTTCACATTCAATATTGCCATTGCTTACTGATGCACCGTTCTCTGCAAGCAGAAAATAAACATAACATAACATACCGCCTTTTATCCCCGAAGGGGTAGGCAGAGACGTGTACAATGCAGCACTTAATGTCACTGTACAATGAACACCCACTTTTCACTATTTATGTTATGAGTCCCGTGTAATAAGGGGTAAGCCTATTGCCATATACCGAGCACAATTCCAGACTCCGTGCTACCAGTGAGATTTTTTTAAGAACACTGTAGTTCTTTGCCCGACCCAGGAATTGAACCCGAGACCCCTTGTCCGGCAGTCGCATTTGCGACCACACGGTCAACGAGGCAGTCCTTTAAGAATAAACATTATATAGAAAAAATAAATACCTATTATTTTCCATATATTTTACACATCCAGTCAACACGTTTTTCCGGGGAATTAACCCAAAAGATGCTAATACACGATTTTACCATTCGTATTATAGATAAGTATTAATATTTTACCTGATTCACATTTTTTTACGATTATTTCAACTTTTTCGTACTCGTGATCTGTAAAAATTTTCTTGGACAAGTCCAATGTAGCATCAATGTCGTATTGACCTTCACTATTCAGCTGCAAATACCAAGACGGGCAATAAGTCCAATGGATAAAATTTGTAAGAAAAAAAAAAATATTTCTATTCTAAATTAATTAAAAATCGCGGGTTACTCACATCACTCACTAGTATGTCTCACGATAGTTATTAGAGGTATAAAAAAATATTTCTATTCTCTCAATTTTTTTTATGGCAATTTGTGTGAAAATATTTAACGAGACAATATTACCCAGCCAAAAAATACTCCACATTTTTTGGTATTATGTAAAGATTAATAATATGTATAATGAATAAAAACATCGAATAATTAATTCATTTTTCGCCTATTAAAGAAGTGGTTAAAACCCTTACAACACCAACTCCCTTGAAGCAGCAACTCCAAAAACATGGGGTAAGTGCATGGGTGCTACCCGTCTCCGCAGCTGCTAAAAATAGTCGACGTGGTATATGATACTCCTCGATACAGTCGTCTATGATCTGATTCACGTCTATCTCAACCTCAGATTCATTCTTGCCATCATCTGCCTTTTAATAAAAATAAAAAAATATATTATTCTTTTTTTATTTACACTTTTTGTATACAATGGCGGACTTAATGCCTAGTGGCACTCTCTAACAGTCAACCTTAGGGTGATGCAGAGAGACACAATAGTAGGTGTAAAAGTTTAACATTGTTGTGAGTTTTGAACATAAATTGACATGTAGATATATTTAATAATATATATCACACAATATATACTAATTAAATATAATGAAGAAGTATTAAAATACATACGTAATGCAAATGGAATAGTAGACAAATAAGTATGGGACATATATATATATACCTAAATATACGAAGGCAAATATATAACATAATATAATATATATACATACAAATACATATTTTATGTTTATTTGAGTTAATTAAGAGGATAGATATTCAAATCGGACTTTTTCATCAGCATCTTCTTTGTCTAAGTGAGAACAGAAAAGTGATAATTAACAGAAATCAAACACCAGGTAATATATGACCAGCGGCGTTTAAACACAAGATGGAAAGGCAAAGAATTTGCAAATACAAATTAAATTATTGTTGTAAATTATAATGATGAAGAAGTTAAAATGTGATAGGATGAATTCTAACCAAGTCCAAAGAAGAGAATGGAAGAAGAACCCATTTGATGGCCATATGTATGTACCTAAGATAAGGGCGGATTTAAACTATCAAACACCAAGCGGTCACCGGTGACCGCAACCTATTGTTCTATAATTGTGTCTACAAAACCGGTACTCGACGAGTTAAGGTGAAGATTTAAGAAGATGATGCACTATCTGTAATCAGCTTCTAATGTGGCACTCCAGAACTGAGAGCATGTCTTTTACGGATAATATCGTTAATGCTGGCGTGTCGTTTATTTTCTTTAAATATAAGGTAAAGAACTTATAACTTACTTGAATACTACTCAGACTCACACCTACTACAAAGAGGACTATGCACGTAACTTTAGCCATATTACACCAACAAATTCTACTTTTGAAACTTCAGACCGTCTAACGTCTACAGATACAGAGAACGTCGAAGCTCTACAGACTACATACCAACTTCAGCACTAGTTTAAATAAATATTGTACAAAACTATAGGACAATAATATTATGATGGAATTATCATAATAATACTTCAAACGACGTTACAATTTGCAAGTAATTTGCTAATAATTGCACAAATCAACACTATTTGATGACAATTTGTATTGAATGTAAATAAAACAACATCCGCATAATTATAGCAGGGTTAGTTATTTTACTAAAATTGCATTTAGACAATACTTCACACACAGTACTGCCTCGTTGGCCTAGTGGTCACAAGACACACAGTACTGCCTCGTTGGCCTAGTGGTCACAAGACACACAGTACTGCCTCGTTGGCCTAGTGGTCACAAGACACACAGTACTGCCTCGTTGGCCTAGTGGTCACAAGACACACAGTACTGCCTCGTTGGCCTAGTGGTCACAAGACACACAGTACTGCCTCGTTGGCCTAGTGGTCACAAGACACACAGTACTGCCTCGTTGGCCTAGTGGTCACAAGACACACAGTACTGCCTCGTTGGCCTAGTGGTCACAAGACACACAGTACTGCCTCGTTGGCCTAGTGGTCACAAGACACACAGTACTGCCTCGTTGGCCTAGTGGTCACAAGACACACAGTACTGCCTCGTTGGCCTAGTGGTCACAAGACACACAGTACTGCCTCGTTGGCCTAGTGGTCACAAGACACACAGTACTGCCTCGTTGGCCTAGTGGTCACAAGACACACAGTACTGCCTCGTTGGCCTAGTGGTCACAAGACACACAGTACTGCCTCGTTGGCCTAGTGGTCACAAGACACACAGTACTGCCTCGTTGGCCTAGTGGTCACAAGACACACAGTACTGCCTCGTTGGCCTAGTGGTCACAAGACACACAGTACTGCCTCGTTGGCCTAGTGGTCACAAGACACACAGTACTGCCTCGTTGGCCTAGTGGTCACAAGACACACAGTACTCTGCCTCGTTGGCCTAGTGGTCACAAGACACACAGTACTGCCTCGTTGGCCTAGTGGTCACAAGACACACAGTACTCTGCCTCGTTGGCCTAGTGGTCACAAGTTCAACTGGCGAGCAAAGGGTCTCGGGTTCGATTCCCGGGTTGGGCAAAATACTACTGGTTTTAAAAAAAAATCTCAGTAGTAACACGGAGTCTGGAAATGTGCCCGGTATATGGCAATAGGCTCACCCCCTATTACATGGGACTCATAACATAACATAAATAGTGAAAAGTGTGTGGTACATTGTACAGTGGCATAATGTGCATCTCTGCTACCCCTTACCATAGTATAGACTTATGGAAACTTAGAAGAAGTATTTAAGATCAACTGTTAATAAAAACGATAAAATATCAATGTATGTTAACGTTTAATACTTCATAGAAGTATTTCGGTAAAAGCATTATTGAAATATTATGCATCGTAAAAAATATTTAGAAAAGATATTCTGCTAATATCGAATAAGCAAGCTGCTACTAAAACGCTCCTTTCATATCCAGCATTTCCATCGGTTACTGAGGCATTGTTCATTGCAAACAAAAAGGAAAATTATATATCATTTTCCGTATGTTTACTCCTGTAAAATAGGCACAGAAAAATTATACTTCTAGTCATGACTTTCTCCACTTCTATTATGAATGTGTTATAAGTATATGATATATTTAAAAACCTATAGTAAAGCAGGTATTATTTATTTTATTTATACTCATGATTATCAAACGGCACGGCAAAAGCCTACCCTTCTTAAACTCCGGAGGTTATACGCCGGGGTCGTGCGGTCCATGGCCCTCTACGGCGCCCCTGTGTGGGCGCCGAACATGCTGCGGCGTCCCACCCGGACGCTGCTCATGTCACAGAGGGTCATGGCGATCCGAATGATCCGCGGATACCGCACGATCTCCGGGGAGTCGGCGAACCTCCTTGCTGGATTACCGCCGTGGGATCTGGAGGCGAAGGTGCTCGCGCGCGTGTATAGCATGCGCGCGGAGGCACGTCGCCGGGGCGAAACTCTGCCGCGCCAGATAAGTGCGTGGCGGGATGAGCTCCGGCGCGATCTCATGGCGGAATGGCAGCAACGAAGGCTGGGCTCGCTGCCATCACAGCGGTAAGTCCCCTCTTTGAGGAGTGGCTTGAGAGACGCTACGGCGTCCTGACCTACCGCCTGACACAAGTCCTCACCGGACATGGAAGTTTCGGGAGGTACCTGTATCTGATGGGGCGCCCGGGTGTCATCACTGCGAGGACCGCCCTGAGGACACGGTGGAACACACTGTAGCGGAATGCCCTGCGTGGGCTGAGTTCCGCCGTGCACTCAGGGGAGTGATCGGCGACGGCGACCTCTCGCGTCCGGGCCTAGTGCAGGCCATGATGCGGAGCGAGGGGGACTGGGATGCCGTCTCCTCCTTTTGCGAAGCAGTCATGCTAGCTAAGAAGGAGGAGGCGGGACGCGTGAGGCAGCGAAGCGCTGCCTCCTCGCAACTCAGCCATCGCGAAGGACACACCGGGCGTCGGGGACCGCGGGACGATCTCCGGCCACCGTAAGTGCGGGCCTGCGGACGGCGAGCATGGGTGGCTCCCCGTCCGGCCAGAAACAGACCCGAGCGTACGGCGCGTCGCGTTCCGCGCGCGCCTCAAAGAGCCATCAGACCACCACAGATGGGGCCCAATACGGCCGATGCCGATTCGGAGTCGCGGAGAACCTAACGGGTAACCGGGGCTCCGACTCGACGTGCAGGAGAAGGAACAGGGTGGTTTTTAGTCAGTAAGAGTCTGACACTCCCTCCCGCCTCGCCCAGGCGGGAGCACTCATTCGATGATTTGCCCCCTTAAAAAAAACCCTTCTTAAACTCTTAGCTATAGAATATTAATTAAATATTGGTAAAATTAATGACTAAAACAGAATGCCATTTTTGAAATGGATTTTATTTCAATCGATTTATTTTGAACTAGTTTTTGCTCACAACTTCGTCTGCAGATTAATAACATGAGGCAAAATTTACATTAATGACTTGTCCCATTTTTCATGGCCTATTCTATGTAAGATATTATTAAATTTCAATCAAGTCAGTACTTTAGTTTTCCTTTACTCTGAGAATGTGAAAGATTATGTGATTCAAAATACATAATTAATTATAATAGGTCTCGTTTCCGTAGGATATGAATTATAAAAAGTTCTAATAATATTTCCTATATTTCACTCTAATCTGCGCCGAGATTTATCTGACACAGTCTAGTCAACTTTACAAGTATAGTTCCCGTTCCTGTGAGATTTTCATTGTTCAGAATTTTAGTCAAACTACTGAAAGTTTAAAGGAAATGATACCCCAGGATTTCACCGCGGTATTTCCGTTTTTGTAGGAGACCCTACGGTCATATAAATCTTCATTAAGAATCACTATATCTGTTAAAAAAACGCATCAAAATCCGCTGCGTAGTTTTAAAGATCCAAGCATACATAGGGACAGACAGATGAAATAGTTGGTAAGATTGTTTTTTTGTGGAAGAAAAATAAACATTTTATTTATTTATTTTGTATTTATTATCGGACGACACTCAGTGTATTTTATCGTTTTGTGAAAAGATTAAAAAAAAAGTGTAATTCAAATGACGGTCGGACGGGACGGAATTGTGAATGTTTTCTTGGCATTTTCGAACATACAACTTGCTAGTAAAAAGCTTCTTTCACATCCAGCACTTCCATCGCTTACCGACTCATCGTTTACTGAAAGAAAAAATATTTTTTAAACGATTATCATTTGTAAGTATATTAGCTAATGGTTAAAAATCACTTATGTTTCTGTTTAATATATAGTTTTAATTATAGTACAGTAAATTGTAACTTGACATAACATCACACCTTTTATCCCCGAAGGGACAAGCAGAGGTGTACACTATGACACTTTATGTACAATGTAACACCTACTTTTCACTATTTATGCTATGAGTCCCATGTAATAAGAGGTGAGCCTGTTACCATATACCGAGCACAATTCCAGACTCCGTGCTACTGCTGAGATTTTTTATAAAAAGCCAGTAATACTTTGCCCGACCCGGGAATCGAACCCGAGACCCCTTGTACAGATCGAGACAGTCAACAATAAACTGTGTGTATAGTATATTATATGTACTGTAATGTTGTATTCTAAATCTGAATATAAAAACAAATCATTGTAATTCCTCTTAAAAAAATTAAAAAAAATGGTTTCCGTCGTCAAATGTTTCATAGTACCTACCTGATACACATTTTTTTAAAATCTCTTCAACTTTTTTGTACTCTTCATTCTTGAACATGTTCTTAGCTAAATTCAGTGTACTATCAGAGTCGTATTGACCCTCACTATTAAGCTGCAAACAACAAAGATAGTTAATAAGCAACTAGAATCGATGAACTAAGTAAAACAAGAGAAAGTACTTCATACCAAATTTAAAAAAAAAGAATTATCAACGAGTTAGTGTTTTATATGCAGCTTAGTGAAAATTGAAAGAAAACACAATCACAGAAGTATTTTTACATAACATAACATAACTTAACCTAACCAAACGTCACGCCTTTTTATCCCCGAAGGGGTAGGCAGAGGTGCACATTGCCGCCGTGCAATGTAACACACGCTTTTCACTATTTATGTTATGAGTCCCATGTAATAGGGGGTGAGCCTATTGCCATATATATACTGGGCACAATTCCAAACTCCGTGCTACTACTGAGATTTTTTTTAAACCCAATGATACTTTGCCCGACCCGAGATCCCTTGCGATCCCTTGAGATCCCTTGATCCCGGCAGTCGCACTTGCGACCACTCGGCCAATGAGGCAGTCGAGTATAAATATATGTATATATAAGCGAGTAAATTATCAAAGATATCAAAGAATTAACACTTACAACTCCAACTTTCGTGAAGCAGCAACTCCAAAAACATGGGGCAAGTAAACTCGCATCGAGTGCCATTATAGTTTTAGAAAATTGTTCTTCAGAGATGTCGAACTTCTGGGCGCATTCAAATGTGATCGTATCCAGGTTAAACTCAGGCTTGGAATTCTTATCATCTGCCTTTTGAATTTAAAAAAAAAACAATAGATGATTAAACATAACATCATAATATAATATCACGGCTTTTATTCCTGAAGGGGTAGGCAGAGGTGCACTGTTATGTCACTGTACAATGTAACACCCACTTTTCACTATTTAGGTTATGAGTCCCATGTAATAGGGAGTGAGCCTATTGCCATATACCGGGCACAATTCCAGACTCCGTGCTACTACCGAGAATTTTTTAAAAACCCAGTAATACTTTGCCCGATTCGGGAATCGAACCCGAGACCCCATGCCCGGCAGTCGCACTTGCGACCACTCGGCCAACGAGGCAGTAAATTAAAATAAAAGAAATGAATCAAGAAATAGACTTTGCTTTCAGGAGTTGGTAATAGTGTAACGTCTAACATGGATAATTGATTCCTGTTGAACCAACCATTAATAATTACAAGAGATTTGATTGGAATACATACAATCGCAAGGTATACAATTTTCTACAACAGTAGCTACTTACTGTCTCTGTACTAAGACAATTTTTCACAATAGAAATACCAATAAGTTACTACCGACACTTACTTGAACACTACTAAGGCTCACAGCTACTACAAACAAGGCTATGTAAGTAACTTTAACCATATTGCACCGAAACATTTCACTGCCGTCAAACGAATATACTCTGCAAACCAAATTGACACCAGTTTATATGAATATTCTACAAAATTATGGGGCATGATGTCATTATCATAATAACACTCTAAACTACGTTACAATTTGCTAACATTTTGCTCATAATTGCTAGTCATTGTAGGATTTGCATTGCATCTAAATAAAACCACATCCGCATAAATAGGAAAGGAAGTTATTCCACCAAAATTGCGTTTTAACAATAACACACCTTATAGACACAAAAAATAAAAGACTTCCGTTGAAAATATTGAATTTATTCAAATTAAACAAAGCAATGGGGCTGATGATTTTCACTGCAGATTAGGAGCACAAAATAAACACAAGTTAATTCGTTTTTTGACTAATAAAATTCTCCATCTCTGTCTTGCACATAAAGAAATCAATAAGTGCGATAGTGACAAGAATTTTACTTAGTCAAAGCACGTTCTATATAGTATTTATTTATCAGATGTTTGTGTTATAATACAAGTTATAGATTGTGCTTCAAAATAGTTGAAGTGGTTTTTTGATTGCTGCAGAATAATTCTAGCCCCAATCGTAGTAGGTCCGGGCTGAAATCCGTTTAGATGATGATCTGTAACCAACAATGCAATTAACGTCTTGAATAATTTTCTTTTAATATACCATATTGGTTGCCATAACTGACGCCACTGCATGTATTATATTCTAAGTTAGATAACTTAACTATTTAAATTAGTGTTGGAGAGCTATACTTTCGGCACGGAAGGACCGGCTCGACCGGAGTGATACCACGGCCTCACAGAAAACCGACAAAAAACAAAGCTTGTTAGGTTTCGTGTGAGTGAGGTTACCAGAGGCCTAACTTCCCTTCCCTCCATCCCCAATCCCTGAATCCCCACCATTCCTCAACTTCCTTCCACATCCCCCTCCCATTCACACGTGTTACGTCAATATTGTTTCAGGTGTCTATGGGCGGCGCCGATTGCCCACGATCAAATGATCCATCTGCTCGTTACGGGCTTATCTTATAAAAAAAGATACTATGGCAATCACAGCGTCATAAATTGCTATTATAAACAGATAGGAACTTGTTTCTGACAATCAACTATAAGTTGTAGTAAATGAAACAGTGAATAACTTACACTAGTCTTATGCTCCAAGAAGCAACCAGCCAGGAGAACACCTCTCTCGCATCCAGCTGCTCCATCACTCACTGCCTTATCTTTCACTGGAAGTAACCAAGAAGTATCAATAGAATTGTCAAATTATTTAGAACCAGATTGTACAAAATTTTCCTTGCGAAAACCCTTACGAAAACGGAAAAAATACTGTTAAGTATAATTACATGTAGGGCATTAAACTAGTTAGCTAATAAATATCATAAGTTGACGAATTAGTTCCGTTAAAGGGATTATTGTGTCATTTTTTCCTCTACTTACTAGAACTAAAAGTGAATGGTAAATTAAATAAATAATAAGTAATTTAAAAGTCCAAACAAAACATTACCTTGTGAACATTTTTTTGCAACCTCTTCCAGTTTTTTGTATTGTTCATCATCCTTCACAAACTGCCTGAGGTTCTTCAATCCAGTTTCCAGGTCTAATTGACCTTGCTCATTGATCTGCAAATTCAGACACAGAAAATTAAATATTTTAATACTCCTATTACATTTGTTACTAAAAGTACAAAACATCAGTTTTATCAGTATGAACACCACTCTGTACAACTGCTATGATATTACCAGTAGGCACTTACGTATTCAAAAGTAATTCGATAGTAAACCAAGTTATATACTAAGCGCACAGCATAAGTACACTGTAATGACTAGGCTAATCAAAGTATCGCCTATTCGAACAAAGCACAGGATAAAGTCCAATTAATTAAATTGACAAGATCCGCTAAAATACCAGCAGAAATCGGATTCTGAAAGTTGATATCATTTTCAGTGACCAACTTTTGGAAAGATGCTATATGCACACGGAATAGAACCTTTACTTAATAAATGATGATAATGATAAGACTCACGAATCCAGCTTTCTTGAATACACAGGCGATGAAGCAAGGTTTGATGTTAGCAGGGCTGCCCGCGTCCTTAGCAGCCTGGATCTCGGCGTCAGTGACTCCATGCTCTTGAGAGCACGCCACTATCACCGGTCTCAAAGACTCCCGGAGAGACTCGCCTTTAGCGACCTTCAAAGTTATAACATAAGGTTGAAAATTGTGAAATTGGTCCAGTATCTGATGAGATGATGTGTATTTTTGCCATTGAAGATTATGATTTGTGCGAAGTAAATTTTTCACCTTGGTGTTACATTGTTCTCGCACAATCGAACCAATGAAACTGTGTAACTGGAGAATTGAATTATGAACTTGATTGGAAAAGAGTAACCTATGAAGTTTCTTGCTCGTTCTTCTCCATAGGAATCTACACCTTGGAATGAGCAAATAGCTTCACTTTTAAATTTCTATTGCTGACGTTCAAAAGTGTCTTCCTGGTCTAATTGAAATAAATGATTTCGACTTTCACTTTATGTGTAGATACATATAGCTATGAGTAAGTCATATTGCTTATATACAATTTAATACACAAGAAGGTGATCCTATATTAGGGTGTGAGAATATTAAACTAAATGGTACTCACGTGAATGCTACCCAAGCTCGCAGCCACCACGCACAAAACAAGACAAGAGAACTTGGCCATTTTATTAGGTATTCAGTAATCACTCCTGTTATCTAGAAGCTCAGACTTTTTATGTCTTAATCCAAAAGTTAACGGCTATTTATATTAAACTTATTTCCTTGGTCAATTCAAATGTCAAGTTTTTATCAATATTGCAAAGCTCGGTTCAATGCAATAAAAACTTTATGAAAAACTATTTTGTTAATCGTACATTATTTATATTTAGATGCCAAGCGGAAATGCACGAATTTGTAAATTCACTTTCTGAGAGTACTAGTAAACTATAATTATTATGTTTTATAAAACAAATTGCATCTTTATCACCTCTACATGCTACTAAAAATATCTCTGGACTATGATGTAGAGAATCATATTTTGTTATTATAACTTCATTATACCTATACGTCAAATGTCATTCTTCAATATACAGGATTAAACCCGAGGTATCTATGTTAATTCTTAAATAAAAATAAAAACGAATATAAGTGTAATAAAATAAAACTGCTTTATTCATAAGTATTAAAGAAAATCAACAAGAATTCATCTTGCCAGACTGCATCGCCACTAAAGTAAATTAAGCGGAGATCTGAAACAGAAAACAATTTCAATAATCAATTAGGTACTCAAGGCGACTTGAGACAGACCTAATCAGGCGGAATCATGCAGTTAGTCAAAAGTATTCATGCTTTAAGGACTGGTGCAAACCTGATACAGTACAGCAGAAATAATTGCATTGTTCTAAGGGCGATCATGGTTAGAAAAAGGTGACAGATCACGGAGCAACGAAAGTCTTTGCACAGAAGCTCGGGCTTGCTCTAGACCATGTGCGGCTTCTAGAAGTCGCGCTAATACTCGTGGACCCGATCTCTGTTGCTCCACCGGATTCATGGATGGCTGCCCTGATTTCTATACAAAAGATATTTACTTATTCATTGTTTAATTTAAATGCAAGTCTGTCGTAAAGTTTTACGGCGAATATAATTATCTAGCTTTTTACAATCTATGATAGTACCAACTTCTTTATATGTTCTGTGGTACATACCAACAATGGCCGCCCACTAACCGTAACAATTTATCTAGTAGTGTTTGACTGTACACTACCAGGAATGCAAATCCTTATTGCAATACATTTAAAATGATTATATATCAAATAATTATTATCGTTAGTGTTCCACAGGGAACAATCATTGGTCCAACATAAATTGATTCAATCTTATTGTTTAATTTGACCATCGTTTATATCTTACGCAAAATAAAACACAAAAAAATATTGAGAAAGAGCTTTTTGATACTACCGGGACAGTAAATTAAAACTATTCTATTTGAAAAAATCTATTTTAAGTCAGTAAATAAAATACCTCGCTCTTGTGTTCCAAAAAGCATGAGGTCAACAGCGCAGCTCTCTCGCAACCAGCTTCTCCATCGCTTACAGACTTTTCGTTGACTGAAATCATTGAAAAAATAAATTTAGTTAACAAATCAAAGCTTCATCTTGGGGTGGTCTTACCAAAAATTTTTCTTTACCAGGTTCAGTGTATTTTTTTATTCTCCCCTATCTGACGCTATCACATCATGCTCTTAACTATTTTTTTATAGTGTTCATCATCATTCATCAGAACTCCATCCATTATAATCCATCTTTATTTAATCTTCCATTTCCTTTCCAGAACATAAATAATTAATTCGTTTTTATGCGTGTATATAACGTGCATACGTTTTTGTTACAAGAAATAATTGCTGTTTTTATTATACTTTTTGCAGATGTGATTTTTAACATCTTTAGATCTTTAATTACCATACTGCACAAATTACTATTATTTGCTTTAATTGTTTTGAAAAATACATTCATATACTTTTAGGTATTAAATACAATACTACCTGAAGCGCATTTCTTTCCGATGTTTGCGAATTTAGCATAATCATCTTCGTTGCTCACGAACTTCTTGAGTTTCTCCAAGGCTTTATCGACGTCGTATTCTCCTTTTTCGGTGATCTGTAATTGATAAGTAATAAAAACTGCTGTTTGAATGTACAGTGTGGTTGCTTTTTTAACGATTCGTCAAAAATATACACTGGAATGAGTATCTTTCTGGATGACCTTGTCTACAGAGAGAGTAAAAAACTAAATGTATGGGGATGACACTGACAAGCGTCAATTCCATATAATTTGGTTTTCTACTCTACAAGTATTTAGCTACAGCTGCTGGATTGATATTTATGTCTTATGACTTACTAGTCATTCATAAATTTACTGACCTTAGCCATAATTTTTCTGCATAATCTTACTAGATTATGCAGTAAAATTACGTAACGTGAGGGTATACCCGATCGGGGTCGCTCTAGAAAAATACTGATCGACCTCAAGATTCTGAAGCAAGACAAGTAACGGGCTACGCCTAGCTGCCAAAACTACAATTGCGTTCCCTGGATTGGAACATAACTGTCCCTTGATAATGGCGCCAGTAACTGCTTGACCAATGGCCTAGTTTTGTCTACATTGATCTATTGGTAATTACTATGATTTTTGAATAATTTTAGATTCCATACGTACCACTTCAGCTTTCTTATATACGCAGCTTAAGAAACAGGAGTTAATGCCATCAGCGTTGCCTGCCGCCTTGGCGGACTTAATATCTTCAGGAGTAACTCCATGTTCTTTTGAGCACTCTTGTACGTAAGGCTTCACAGCTTCTATAAAAGCAGCTTTCTCTTCCGCAGTTGCCTGAAAAGGAATAAGTTTTAATTATAGTAACGAATTGTTACATCTATTATTTGTTTCATTTTTTATATTCTGACCAGGTCATGACATTTTGGATTATACAATTGTACATCTACTATTTACTAGGCTACGAGTAGATATAATTAAAGCTTTTATATCTTCATATTTTGAAATTCACTTAAGAATTGCTCACGATTTTTTGAGCAATTCAAGGTTTAGTAAAATTTTTGTTCAAATGAAATAAGAAATCATTTTGCAGTAAGACACCCTCCCAATGTCAGTCGATGTTTAGTCAATAGCTTTTAATGTTTTGATGAAAAAAGTAAAATTAATTTTACAATATCTATGTGCCATTGTTATTTTGTAGGTAAAGGCTATGTCAACTGAACTTAGGACTTACGATTGTAGGCAACCTTAACTTACTGACTATAAAGATAACTGATAAACAATTATGAACTTTTTAAAGAGAATATATAAATTTCAAAATCGTAATTGACACTCACATGAACCCCACTTAGGCTTACAGCCACAACACACAAAACCAAACAAGTGAACTTGGACATATTGTAGGTACTATTCAACTTTGGACTCCTGATCCTTCGAAGCGTCAACTGTGTGTGCCATGGATCGTAAACAGACGTCTTTTATATAAAACTCCTGTTGTTGGGTAATTTTACGCGAAGTAATTATCATTATATTATCTCAGAGCGGCTTAGATCAATGTTAATAGGAAACGCAGCAAAAAATATATCTTTGTTCGTTTACTTCATCCGTGCCTTTTTCATAGCATGTGCATTGTTTCGACTATTCTAAGGTCCTCAAGAATCTATTAGGGATGACCTTCTTTTGAAATGTTTATGAATTTGTTTTCTGACTGTATGACAAAATGTTAAGCAGAATTTAGGCCTAGGTTCTGTAGGTAAATAGGTTATAATTTGGCCTTAATTCTGTATAATAGTCATTAGGTATAATTATATAGGTACTTAGGTATACCTAATACTATGTAGGCAGTGGCGTGCACACCATACATGCAAATAAGCACTGCATACCCTACAAAATCATGGTAAACCTACATAGTCAAATACATAGTGTCACTCATAAACACGACATGAATATTTACTGACATCATACAGAGATTTCGTAATTTTATTGATACTTAATTTGAAAAACTGGTCACTAACGCCATCTATCGAAAAAATATTGAAGTACTAGAACCACTTTCTACTTTCTTCGATATATTGAAGCATTGCGCCCGTGGCGCCGCCACCTCGCTATTGTGTGATGGTGGCGGAAGCACGTACTAATGCGTAGCCGGTACAATTTGCTTGTTTTCTCGTGCTGATGTTGGATTTTTTTTTTGTTAGGTTGGTAATTTCTATACAACTGCAAAAGCACTGCTTCTTCGTTATCCGCCTAATTTAAGAAGTCAACAAAACGTAGCGTTTGTTGATTGAAAATAGATATATTAATTTTGGTAAACTTATTGTTTACGTTTTTTTTGGCCATTTTGTTTTGGTTATGTTTTTATGTGCAACTGAATAAATTGTAATGTAATGAATTATAATTTAAATGAACTGTTAATTTACCGAAAATTATGTAAAATTATAGCTCTGAGCTCTGTGCTGGTGATTTGTGTTGTTCAATAAATTAAATATGAGTGCGTTGTCCTATTGTCGTTCGAAGAAGAAACGAAAATATTTCCAAAGGCGATTTTGCGTGTGTCGTATGTCCGGGCTAGGCGTAACTCAAAAAAGGTAATAATTTTATTATTTCTTTTAATAAACTACGATTTGCGATTATAGGTATAGTTTGTTTTGTTAGCACTGGTTGTGTACCAATTTCATTAATGTTTTTAAAATCCAGTCATCTTGATCTCGCTTTGTACGACTTTTCTATGCATTTAACGGTCAGTTTATACTGGTGTTGCATAGCTTGATGTGTAACCATTTGTACTTCGCCGCTCCAAAGTAGGTACCTAGTTAATAGATTTGTAAAATAGATACCTAGGTATCTATGTTGATCAACTTTATACACGGATAGTTTGAAAATTATTATGTACCTAATTTGTTTATACAAATTAATAAAATATGTACTTACTAAACCTAATTACCTACTCATAGTTATGATGTTTCGGGAGTTTTATTTTCCGAGATTAATGTAGACCAAATTTTTTTTAATCATGTAATACCTTCTGCCTACCCTGCTTCAAATCTCTGTGCACGCCCCTGTATGTAGGTAGTATGACTATGGATGAAATTCATGTCTGATCTTCCTTTTTATTATTTTAGTTATATTTTCAACACCTCTGTGCATTTATTTGGCTACTGTAACTTTATTATCGAACGAAGATTTGGTATTCATAACCGTCTCGGACGGAAGATAAGAACTTTGAGAGAGTTGCGACCTTTTTGCCATGCCACTTTACAAACTAAGGCCCACTTTTCATTACTTATCCCATGTACCTAATAGGGGGTGAGCCTATTGCCATATATCGGGCACAATTCCAAACTCCGTGCTACTACTGAGTAAAACCCAGTAATAATTTATCCGACTCGGGAATCGAACCCGAGACCCCTTGTCCGGCAGTCGCACTTGCGACCACTCGGCCAACGAAGTAATCTTTTTGATATATTAAAAATAATACTTTGTGAGGTGTTTTATAAACTACCTGTAAGTAAAGCATTTTATAGGCAACGTGTAGTTAGTCGTTCCAGGAATCATCCTGCTGCATTCATTACAGCTACGTACTTCATATTTTCTGAAAGAATAACTCAGTTTGTGGTCGAGAATTTGACGTGTTTCTCCTGCTTAGGAAAAAATAATGTCCCATTATGGGACGGAAAATAACTGCAACGTTGTAACGTATTTTCATACTTTTTTTTTTCGAATTATCTTCTGAACCGTTCTTGTAAAACTCAAGAAAAGAGCGCCCGCATTTAAAAATGTCGACATCACATTTGTGACTTCTCTGGTGTTGTGGGTATTCATAAGCAGAGCTGGTCGCTTAGCACTAGGCGATCTGTATACTCGTTTACTGCCTATAACATAAAAAAAATAATTGACCTTAATAGGATCACTGTTACGAATCCCTTATAATAGGGGTATTACAAGGGATTCATAACATAAATAACCAAAAGTAGGTGTCACATTGTACAGTGGCATTTAAGTGCTGTAATGCACCTCTACCATAAAGGCTTGTTATGTTGTTGCTGTGCTTCATTAAAAAAAATATATAAACCCAAAAGCTAGTTTGGCATTGCAACATCACCTATATAAACCATCAAATACCCACGTCACAACAAAAAAAAACTGGGAATATTTCATTTGGGTATCTGCTGTTACAGTGATGCAAAGTTCAAAGCAATAAATACAAAGTCCATTTCTTAAGTTCCAAGAATACTATAAATAATATAATTTAACATTGTACTTCCCTGACGTAACGTAAAAAGAACATCCTATAATTAGCTGAGTGGACTTTGTAACGATAATAGTTGTGGTTCAAAGTTATGTGGGGTTTTTCTATATTTCTTTTGTATACGTTCGGGATTGGGCTAAACTAAATGAATTGTTACCAAGCGGCTAATAGATAGGCCAATCTTGGGTGCACAAAACGTACATAATATACAATACGTAAAGGCAACTTGTAGTGTTTGTGGTAGTATCTATATACATATAGATACATGCCGTCTCGTGCGCATGACGCGCGGAGTGGACAGTCATTAGCACGAGAGCCGCGGGCGAGGGTGGACTGTGTCACTGCTGCGCGTGCATGTGTGATCGAGCCGGCGTATGCGTTATAGTATTACATTAGTTTACAGTAAGGGTCCTACATTTGGCGACGAGCTAAAAGGTAAGTAATTTATGTTTTATCAAAAAGAATAAGAAAGGATGTTGGGTGTTATTTTAGTCCTACCTACATACCGACATGATCAAATACCTGGCACTATATTATTATCATACTTATTTGTTAACCTGCATTAATAACCCAACATTTCATATTTACGAGTTCAAATAAACATTTTACTGTACAATGATTCGCATATAAACTGAAGCATTTCGTCCACATTTCGTAATTTGAACTAAAATGATGTTAAACTTTTTAATTGAAAGTTATATAATTGAGATGTTTAAACTGTCAAACACTAGGCGGTCGCCGGTGGCCGCGACCTGTTCTTTGATTGTGTCTGTAGTGAGGGTACTCAACGAGTCAAGCAATTACTTAACTATGTAGGTAGGTATGTGCGTCAACATGAAATATGTGCTGTGGATTTATATTTATAGGGTTGGATACTTTGTTTGATTGTTGTTTGATTTGCTACTAAGGTACTGAATAATATACATAACGGACGGCTGTAAGCTGTGAAACATTACAAATCAGTATGAATTTCAATAATATGAATAATTGTTTAAGATTTACTGCTTTAATTTTCAGATATTTACTAAGTGGTTTTAAAACCTCCATTGAATTGGAAATAATGTGGTTTTAAAAACCTCCATTAAATTGGAAATATTGTGGTTTTAAAACCTCCATTAAATTGGAAATATTGTGGTTTTAAAACCTCCATTAAATTGGAAATATTGTGGTTTTAAAACCTCCATTAAATTGGAAATATTGTGGTTTTAAAACCTCCATTAAATTGGAAATATTGTGGTTTTAAAACCTCCATTAAATTGGAAATATTGTGGTTTTAAAACCTCCATTAAATTGGAAATATTGTGGTTTTAAAACCTCCATTAAATTGGAAATATTGTGGTTTTAAAACCTCCATTAAATTGGAAATATTGTGGTTTTAAAACCTCCATTAAATTGGAAATATTGTGGTTTTAAAACCTCCATTAAATTGGAAATATTGTGGTTTTAAAACCTCCATTAAATTGGAAATATTGTGGTTTTAAAACCTCCATTAAATTGGAAATATTGTGGTTTTAAAACCTCCATTAAATTGGAAATATTGTGGTTTTAAAACCTCCATTAAATTGGAAATATTGCGGTTTTAAAACATCCATTAAATTGGAAGCATGTACCTAGGTACCTCATTGTGGTTTAAAGGCCTCCATTAAATTGGAAATAGTGTGGCTTCAAAACCTCCATTGAATTGGATATTGTTGCGATTCTAAAATCTCCATTAAATTGAAAACATTGTGATTTTAAATTCTCGATTAAATTTTATGTGGGTAGTTATTTAGAACAGGAATATGGAGTAAATTAAGAACTGTTTTTTTTAAGGTCAATACAGTGATGGTATTTGATTCTTAATTTCAGTATTACATATCTGTGAATGTTTATTCAACTTTTAATAAGTAGGTGCATTTAATAAAATCGACTAATTTATTATGTTTGATAAATGGTAAGTTACAACGTAGGATCATCTTTCCAGGTTGCCCCACCTGATCCTTGAAACAAGCACTAAGTAATCATGACTAATATGCTACCCCCACCCGAAAAATTAGATTTAGACGGTAATGATGCATCAGTTGGTCAAAGATGGGAGAAATGGAAAAGATCTTTAGAAATTTATTTAGACGCTGCAGAAATTCAGACACCTGTTAAGAAAAGGGCAACACTTTTACTCCTGGGGGGTTCAGTGTTACAGGAAATCTATTATAATCTACCCGGAGCTTCTGTAGAACCAACTGAGGGCATTGACGTATTTAAAATTTCTATTCAGAAATTGGACGAATATTTCCTTCCTAAGCAAAGCTGCGTTTATGAACGTCATGTTTTCCGGCTTATCAAGCAGGAAGAAGCGGAGAGATTTGAAAAATTTCTTGTTCGATTGAGAAAACAAGCTACAAAATGCAAGTTTGATAAGGTTGACGATCATTTAATTGATCAGATAGCGGAAAAGTGTGCATCGGTAGAATTAAGGAAGAAAATCCTAACCATTGGCGATGACATTACTCTCGAAAGAATTGTAACAGAAGCAAACACTTTGGAAGTGGTCAAACAACAACTAGACGACTACGAAGAAAAAACGAAAAGAATCGATATTAATCAGATAGGTAGCAAAGATGGAAAAATCACAAAGAAAACAGACAAGATGTGTGGCAGATGCGGAAATACAAAACACGATTCACAATATAGTCTATGTGTAGCAAAAAATCAGAAATGCCACTCGTGCGGTAAAATTGGACATTTTGCACGATGGTGCAGGAGTAGAAAAGATCAGAAAAGGAAGCTCGAAGATACAGAAATTAAAACAAAAGGAGCAGATAAACCAAGTGATTCTAAGAAAGCGAGAAAAGATGGAAGAGTAAATTTTGTTGAAAAGGACGTTGAATATGTTTTTAATATTTACAATGATGATGAAACTTCTGTAAAGTGTATGATTGGAGGAGTAGTCGTGGACATGTTGGTTGACTCAGGATGTAAAGTTAATTTGATTTCTGATAAGACTTGGTATAGTTTGAAGAAACAAAATATAAAAGTATCCAATCAAATTCAAAAGCCTAATAAAAGACTAGTACCGTATGGAAGTGAAATACCTTTAAATGTTGCGGGATCATTTGAAGCAATAATAAGTACAGGAATTAAAGAAACAATAGGTACATTTTATGTTATTAACGGAGGAACAAGGGATTTGTTAGGAAAAGATTCAGCTGTTAAGTTAAATGTTTTGAAAATTGGATTGGGCATTAATCAAGTAGAGGCTAAAGAATTTCCAAAATTTAAAAATGTTTTAGTTGAGATTCCTATAGATGATACTATAAAACCTGTGGTTCAACCATACCGCAGGATACCTATACCACTTGAGCAAAAAGTAAATGAAAAAATTCAGGAACTGCTAGACTGGGATATAATCGAAGAAGTGTCACAACCATCAAGATGGGTTTCACCGGTCGTTCCAATTCTTAAAGAGAACGGAGAATTGCGCCTTTGTGTTGACATGAGACGAGCAAATGCCGCTATACTTAGGGAAAATCATCCCTTACCGACCATGGACAATTTACTCCCAAAGATTGGTAATGCTAAGTTCTTTACGAAAATTGATATTAAAAATGCATTTCACCAACTTGAACTGCATCCGGATTCCAGACATATCACTACATTTATAACATCGCGGGGGTTGTTCCAGTACAAGCGTTTGATGTTTGGAATAACGTGCGCCCCAGAAATATTCCAGAAGACCTTGGAAAGGATGATTATTCATTGTGAAGGAGCAGTCAATTTTATTGACGATATACTTATTTATGGAAGTACTGAGACGGAACATGACCGGCGCGTAGAACAAATACTGAAGGTATTAAATGAGAACAACGTGTTGCTAAATGAAAATAAATGTATTAGGAAAGTTCAAGTAGTTAATTTTCTCGGACATGAGTTAAGTGCAAATGGAGTCAAACCATTAAAGAAGTATATAGATAGCATCGACAATTTTGGGATTCCAAAAACGATTGAAGAATTACAGAGCTTTTTGGGTTTAATAAATTATATTAATAAATGGATACCTAACCTAGCAACAACTACAGAACCGTTAAAACAACTATTGCGGAAAAAATTAGGCAAAAATGCTGGGTTAGAGAAATATTGGAAGAAAGAACAGAAAGAAGCTTTTGACTTAGTAAAAAAGGACTTATCACAATTAAAGTCTCTTGGGTACTATAGCGTGAAAGATAAAATACAAGTGATTGCCGATGCCAGTCCGGTGGGCATTGGAGCAGTTTTGGTACAAATAAACTCTAGAGGTCCACGAATTATAGCCTATGGCAATAAAACGTTAACTGATTGCGAGCGAAGGTACAGTCAGACAGAGAAAGAAGCGCTAGCCTTGGTTTGGGCTGTTGAACATTTTAACATCTTCCTATATGGCAAAGAATTTGATCTGATAACCGATCATAAACCCTTAGAGGTTATATTTGGGCCCAGATCTAAACCCTGTGCTCGCGTGGAAAGATGGGTTTTGCGTTTGCAATCTTATCGATACAAAATTAAATATCAATCTGGCAAATCAAACATTGCTGATCCACTGTCACGTCTTTGTCATCAAAATGCTACCTCTTATTTAGGAAAGGATCAGCATGTTTACCAAATTGTTGAACAAGCCAGACCAAAGGCTGTTTCCATGTACGATATTGTTGAACATTCGGTTAAGGATTTAGAAATCAAAAACGTGAAGAACGGTATCTATAAAAATATTTGGGATGATAACGTTAAAGCATACAAAATTTTTGAAAGTGAACTATGTTTCTATGATGATGTTCTTTTAAGAGGCAATCGCATAGTGATACCTGTTTCACTACGAAAGGAAGTGTTAGATTCTGCGCACGAAGGGCATCCTGGGATTGCAGCGATGAAAGGTCGACTAAGATCTAAAGTGTGGTGGCCACGAATAGATCGAGACGCGGAAAGCGTTGTTAGGGGTTGTAAGGGATGCACCTTAGTAGGTGCACCAAATCCGCCAATGCCAATGAAAAGGCGTGAATTACCTTCAGCACCTTGGGTGGATGTAGCTATTGATCTTTTAGGTCCATTGCCCAGCAATGATTATCTTTTGGTGATTATTGACTACTACAGTCGATACAAAGAAATCAAAATTACAAAATCTATCATGAGTTCGCAGATTATCAAGATCCTTAAAGAAATTTTTAGTAGATTGGGCTATCCTGTCAGCATTACTGCTGACAACGGCCGCCAATTTATCAGCACCGAATTCAGATCATTCTTACAAGAATGTAACATTACCCTTTATAATACAGTTCCCTATTGGCCTCAGCAGAATGGAGAAGTTGAGAGGCAGAATCGTGATATTTTAAAAAGGTTGAAAATAGGACACATAGAAAAGAAGGATCTGAGAGAAAGTCTCTACGAATATCTTCTAATGTATAATGCTACTCCGCATTCAGTTACGGGAAAATCTCCTTCAGAGCTATTCTTCAAGAGACAGTGTCGAGATAAAATTCCATCAATAAGAGAAAGAGAACTTGAAGATGATTCTGAAGTTAGAGATAAAGATAAAGAGCAGAAGGAGAGAGGAAAGGAATATGGTGATAAGAAAAGGCGTGCAAAAGAAAGTCAACTAGTAGAAGGAGACAAAGTGTACGTCAAAGAAATGGAATCCAATAAATTAAGTTTAAATTACAACCCTACACCACATGTTGTGGAAAATCGTAGTGGTGGAGATGTGACAGTTAGGAATGAAGAGACTGGACAGACATTAAGACGAAACGTAGTACATTTAAAACGAGTTGAAGGCAAATGGACATCAATCACAGATAATGAAAATGAAGATATTGAGAATTTGTAATATTGTTTCACATATACATTGATGTAATTAATAAACAAGTGATTTAAATTAAAACAAAATCTTTTAATATGAAAAGGATGTAGTGTTTGTGGTAGTATCTATATACATATAGATACATGCCGTCTCGTGCGCATGACGCGCGGAGTGGACAGTCATTAGCACGAGAGCCGCGGGCGAGGGTGGACTGTGTCACTGCTGCGCGTGCATGTGTGATCGAGCCGGCGTATGCGTTATAGTATTACATTAGTTTACAGTAAGGGTCCTACACAACTGATTGCTGAAATACAGCTGTCATAAACCTAGTTCAGCAACAGAAGCTACAGCAAGGACACAATAACTGTACCTATACATATATGAAATCTGTTACTAGATCATATGTTTTAAACTGTGTAACTTCTTTTATTTGGTGAATAAAGTTATTATTATTTATTATAATTAATTATTATAATATACTTTTTTATATTATGTAGGTACCTTCTATTTGTGATATTGGACGCAAAAAAGCTTACGCCGCGCTTAATGATGAGCTGTCGCCGTGTCACGGACACACTCAACGCCAGAGGCATAAACAAGTGCAATACGGATCATGTAAGTGATTACAGGAAACATTTAAATTGCTGCATCACAAATCATCTTCCCTAAAATACAGCAGGACGAACTTTTCGAATTAATTTTATTACAAAGTAAAAGTTAAACTATCCTAAAGTGCGATATTTTTATTTTTGTATTCTATTGCAAAATAATGATTTCTAATTATTATATTAAACTAGAAACCATTAACAATACACGAAAAAAAATAAAAACATACTTATTTCCTTCAGGCCGAAATTCATTTCCCCGAACGTAACTAGATGGCGTTCGTATCGAAATAGATCGCGCTATGGTTTCGTTCACTACGGAGTACTTATAGCGGCCGGTATGATTTATTCGACGTTGAGGTACATTTTGCCCAACATAATGTGTTCATAATTAAGGGACCAATTTTCAGTAGTAGCTTAGGTACGTACATCATGTAATAGTAAGACACATTTCAGCAATAAGCTGTTTTGTGCACGTTTGTGTACCCATTTTTTGGAAGGTGTGCAGCAGAGTAACATCTGCTACACCAAAAATACAAATAAAATAACTGCACTGTTTTACCAGATATAATTAAATATAGCTTGATATATAATAAATTAATTCTTCTATACTATTTCTATGTCGCGGAGAACCTAACGGGTTACCGGGGCTCCGGCTCGACGTGCAGGAGAAGAAACGGGGTGGTTTTTAGTCAGTAAGAGTGACACTCCCTCCCGCCTCACTCAGGCGGGATGGAGTGATTCGATGATTTTCCCCCGTTAAAAAAAATACTATTTCTATAAAATAATTGAATAGTTAATTCTGTTATTAGTACATAGTTTATAAAATTTATTAGTGTATGTAAAACAATGCCGCTGACCACGCACATCCAAACCGCTAAAACGGTTTGATGGGAAATGTTTCAAATTTATTTATTTATTTATTTATTTAAGCTTTAATGTACACAGAATCAAGTAATGGTACATAAGGCGGACATTAATGCCATATGGCATTCTCTCCCAGTCAACCTTAGGGTTAAATTGAAAAACGGCGAAAAAATAGGCATGTGTAATTATAAGAAACAAATAACATAAATAGACTTTAATAAATATAGATAGGTACAAAAAAATATTTAAAATGTACACTACAATATAAATACAACATAAATATATAGGTATATATATACATGCTCATATATATATATATATATATATACTAAATGAATAAATTCTATAATAATACATATATAATAATAATAGACCTAGACTCAGCGTTGTAGTGACTTTAAAAAGAAATCGTGAACATCGCGTTTGAAAGTGATCTTATTTGGAGCCTTTTTTATGTTAAGCGGTAGTGCGTTCCATAACTTAATTACACTAACTGTGAAAGAGTTAGAAATGAAGGATGTTCGGTGGGACGGAATCTCAAGAAGCAGATTTTCAGCAGAACGGAGATTACGGCTGTGAGAACTGCCCAGAACCTGGAAGCAAGACTTTAGGTATTCAGGAGCACAAGGATCATTCAGAATAGAGAAAAGCATGCAGAGAGATCTAAGAGATCTTCTCTCACGGATAGGAAGCCATTTTAGCTGATCGCGAAAAGAAGAAATGTGGTCGTATTTACGAAGACCGAAGATAAAACGGATACAGTTATTGAGCATTCGATCCAATTTGTTCAGAAGGTCTTGGGATAGGTCAGAGTAACAAACATCAGCATAATCGATAACAGGAAGCACAAGGGACCGGACCAGTAACTGTTTTGTATTTGGGGGCAGAAAGTTTTTAAATCTATAGAGGGATCGCAGCGTAGCAGTAACTCTCTTACTAACCTGCGCAACCTGATGGTTCCAGCTGAGGCTACCATCCAGGTATAGGCCCAAATTCTTTACGTAAGGAGACAACGGTATGACAACTTTATTATATATTATTGGTTCGAGGTGATTAATATTCAAACGGTTTAAATAAGAGGAACTACCCAACACAATGGCCTGACACTTATCAGCATTAACGGTGACCCCATACTTCTTAGACCACTCTTCTATATTGAGCAAGTTGGCATTAAGATGCTGAATACAGATCCGCAAGTCGGCAGCACAAGCCTGAGCATACAGTTGCAAGTCATCGGCATACAGATGATAAGAGCACGTGAGACGACTAGTGATAGAATTTATGAATAAAGAAAACAACAGAGGAGATAGTATACCGCCTTGCGGTACACCAGCCGTCAGCCCGCACCAGTCAGAGTGTTCCTGACCAATGCGAACCGCCTGCTGGCGACCACGAAGATAAGCCGAAAACCACTCCTGAGACGACGACGAGAATCCAGACTGAGTTAATATAGCTAGGAGGACATCGTGGTCGACCGTATTGAAAGCGTTGGAGAAGTCAATTAAAACCAACACAGTTAACCTCGAGTCCCCCATACCATACCTCGCATCCTCAGTGACTTTCAGCAAGGCGGTAGAAGTGCTATGGCCGGGCCGAAAACCAGATTGGAAAGGAGACAGTAGTTTGTGTTTTGAGATGTAGGAAGAGATTTGCTTATGAACAACTGCTTCGAGGATCTTTGATTGGTAAGGGAGAATCGAAATGGGTCTGAAATCTTTGACCAGATAGGGGTTAGGGATTTTAGGAAGTGGAATAATATGTGCTTTTTGCCAGATTGAGGGGAATACACCGTAAAATAATGAAAAGTTAATTATGTGAGTGAAAATAGGGAGGAAGTGGTCGGTAATTAAGGAAATCATGGTACGGCCCACCCCGTCACAGCCCACCGCCCTGGACTTGACCGATGCAAAAACTCGTCGAATCTCGAGTTCAGTCACAGGACTAAATGAGAAAGTATCAGGGAGTGACATAGGCTTGGAAGTTATTTCAGAAATGGTTTGGAGTTTAACAGCATCAGCCAAACCAGGCGATGTAGCAAAATGAAGGTTAAGACTATTAAGTGAAAGGTTCGGAGGCAAAACACTGGATGACGTCTTACAAACACCCAAAGTTTTCAAGAACTTCCATATATCAGCCTGTGAAGAATTTTGAACATTATCAAAAATGTATCGGCGTTTGGCAGCTCTCACCATCTGATTACACCGATTCCTCGCTATCCTGTACAATCCCCAGTTCTCCTCGCAACGATCCCTCTTATACCTGCAGAAAGCCCTATTTCGACGCGTCATGGCCATTCGGACCCCCTGAGTGATCCAAGGAGCCGGTGGACGCCTGACACGGACTGCCCTCAAAGGTGCATGTGAATCCAAAAGTTCAAGGACAGACTTGTTCAAGTTTTTCACTTTGTCATTAATGGAAGTCGATTGATACACGTTGGTCCAGTCAATGGATTGAGCATCACTGTTAAGTTTGACCTTGTCTATCCTCGCAAAGTTCCGAATATATACGAATGCGGGTCGCCGCTTAGGAGGCTTGATTTTATACGATAGGTAGATCAAGTCGTGCCTTGACAAACCAGGAGCCGCGACCTGTCCGTGATTAACGACAAGATCTAGGGAAGACACGAGCATGAGATCGAGCCAAGAATCATCGGATCCAACATTACAATGGGTCGGATTTAGTGGGAGAAGTGAAAGGTTCGAAGAATCAAGGATCGACCTCAGCCCACGAGACCTAGGAGTAGTCTTTGTTAGATCAGTGTTAAAATCCCCCATGATTATGTGATGCTTATACTCTGAGGAAAAAGTATCGAAGAGGGTTTCTAGATGAGAAAAATAGTTTATGGCAGGTGGGCAGTAAACCACTCCAAGAACAGCCTTAACCCCCTTGACGTCCACCTCGAGGACCAAACTTTCCGGAGTCCCGCTGTAGAGGGATGGAGAAGAGGATAGTATTTTAAAGGGAATGTCACTTCGAAGAAAAATAGCAACACCCCCTGCTCTCTTACCTATTCGGTCATTTCGGATTAAGATAAATCCAGGTAGGCTGTAAGAGGTAGAAAGAAGCTCGGGTTTGAGCCAGCTTTCTGAGATTAATATAGCATGGATTAATGTGTCGGAAAAGATATCCAACAACTCCGAGTGGTGTTGAGGAACACTTTGAGCATTAACGTGGCAGATGTTAAGGCAATTATGGAATCGCTGACATTCATTAAGTAAGAAATTGTTTATGGATAAACAATCGTCAAGAGAAGAAGAAAAAGAATCAAGGGAACTACAAGCTGAAAGAAATGAGTCATCGTCGGACATACTAAATAATATAATATGAGAATAGATAAAATAAAATGTATATACAAATAAGTGTAAACTAAATGTTTATATTAAAAATAGTACTACTAAAGATAGTACTACAACTTGGAAACCTGCCGGTTGACTGTCACAAATCTAAGAGTACTAGAAGCTATTTGAAATATTTATTCCATATAAACAATGATATTGACAATCTAAAAGGACATGAAGCTAAATATTTAATAAAAATAAAACCATAATGAAACATGCAATTGACGCACTGACAGTTTGACATTATTACAGCAGTGACATTGACAAGTTTTGTCAAACAAATATTGATTTTGTTTATTTATTACTAGACGGTATGACGATAAAACTATTAAATCTATCACTAAAAAAGGAAAATTCTAGAAGCATAAAAATAGGAATTTTTGAAGAATTAGTATATACGTTACTTTTTGGGACCATTACGCCTCGAGCGAGAAGGAACCGGCGCCGGCGACGACACAGTCATGTTTTTCGAGCCGGCTTTGGTACTCAATGGAGGCTGAGGAACCTCCAACGATCTACCATGCTCTGAACCTAACTCCACGACTTCGTCGTAATTGAAAACACGGCGCCGCTTACCGTCCGGCAGTTTTATGTTTATGTTTCCGTCCATAGTCCACACACTGCGTACGCCAAACAACTTGCGAGCCACGGTGAAGGCCGACTGTCGCTGCCGCGTCAGGAACTCGGAGAGAACATAGGAGGTTCCCTTCAGCTTGGTCTTGGCCCTCCAGACCTTCTTCTTCAGAGCGAGATCAGTAAACCGGAACAATACAGGTCTAGGTCGTCCCTCAGTTGCAGCGCCCAGTCGGTGACTAACTTTAATCGAGGCCGGTGTTACATCAGGAAGTTCCAGCTGCCTTGTCAATATAGATGCTACAACATTAGCAACATTCTCCTCGGGCTGTTCAGGCACTCCACCAAGCAAAAGGAACTTCTGCCGGTGACGCATCTCCATTACATCGGAACTCCTACTGAACTCAAGCATTTGGTGCTGCAGTACTGTGAGGACACTCCACACGTGATCTTTGAAGACACTATAATCCTTCTTTAAGCCGCTCAAATCTTCTCCAGGTGAAGAAACTTTTAAGTGTGCCTCAAAGTCTGCCATTCGCTGTTTTAATGAAGCAATGACCAACCGATGAGTCTCCGCAAGGTCATCAATAGTAGTCATCCTGAATATTGTGTTTGTATTATGTAGCTGCTCGTACCACTTGTGAATATAAAGCAATTGGAAAGTGACAAGTCACCGGCTAGTTGATGATTCCCAGTTTATATCATAGGGAAATAGTTTCCCACACAGTATATAATTGATTCCGAGTCACTGACTTGATATAAACGAAAATCCCAAAAAAAATATGAGTTTAACTAATATTTATGTAATTTAAAAACAGAGCACATAATATAGCGACTTATTTACACATACCCCCACCAACCAATCAATATCTGTACACTGTTGTGATTATAAATTTAAAAAAAATACTGACTTTGATAGTTTTCTAACCCATGAAATATACTTACTTACAAAAATTATTAAATGTATTTTAAATCGATATGTGTATTGTATATTTTACTTGCTGTACTCGTTTCAAAAGTACCTGACTAACACGTTAAACGCCATGGGGGTCACCGGTGACTGGCGTTAATTTTTTATTGGTAGTCAAAGTTTTAAAGATTAAAGGATTAAGGAGATAAATGGAATTAAAAAGATGCAACAAATATAATTGCAAACATTTATTATTTCTTAGCATTTGTGCAAAATATCACACTTAATCATTTATAGTAAATATATTGGCATTGCAAGTGAAAACGTACATTAAATAAGTACTGTACTGCAAAGAAATAAAATCAGTGGGTATTATTGTACTTATTCTAGCATTTTAGGTAACTGTCTTCAGAGATTTACATGGGTACCTGAAAAAAATAAAAATCATATCAAAACCATTAAATCAGAAAAGTTACAACCAATTTTTTCGGTCAGCAATAAGATTAAAAAGAATACAGTAAATAATGTTATAAAGAATACGATAAAAATAAATTTTAGACAGGCTAATAAATAATAATTACCGAGCCTTTATGATCCAAAAAGCATTGGGTCAGTAGTACACCTCTCTCGCATCCAGCCTCTCCATCTCCGACTGGCTTGGAGTTAACTGAAACAACACATGATTAATGCAGTCATCGATTTTTTCTATATTTATGGTTAAATGTGATTTAGTATATTTTAACAATAGTAAAATCACTTCGAATTTCAAAATATTTTTTATCTCATAAATGCAGGAAATCCTAGCGAGGTGTCTAAACTTCATAAATGTGTAAACTTCATAAATAATTATTACTTTGATTGCACTTCCAATCACTTGAGACTAAAATCTAGTAACTCGGAAATCCTTTTGAGACGGAACAAACTTATAATAGTATTTAATAACTATCGTGAGACATGCTAAATAATATCGCGATCGCAGTGACCGCGCCGGCCACTCATGAATGAGAGTCCCGTTGTGACTTGAAATGAAACGATTAGAGCTGTTCTCTAAACCGATATTTTTTATTTCATTTTTAACACTTTTAACATAAAATCACGCCTTTTTACCCCGAAGGGGTATACAGAGGTGCACATTATGCCTCTGTTCAATGTAACACCCACTGTTCACTATTTATGTTATGAGTCCCATGTCATATTGCGACCACTCGGTCAATGAGGCAGTCAGTTAATTTTAAATAGCTTAGCTATTATCTCAAAATACCTAACTAGAATACCACGGTCTTCCGAATATCATACCTGATGCACAATCTTTTCCAACTTGTGAGAGTTTGGCGTAATCATCATCATTGCTAATGTACTTCTTGAGCTTGGCTAAAGCAGTATCCACATCGTATTCGCCTTTACTATTCAACTACAAAAAACATTAAACAAAATGTTAGAACAAAGAAAGTAAATAGTAGTTTTGTAGTTAATCTTTTAATCTGGTTCCACTAATTAGGTATCCAATTTAACGGACGCCTTAAGAGTCGGCTATGGGCGATAAATTAAACAGACGAGCAGTACTTTCTCACTTTGATACATCTGATTAATGCAAACCTCTCATTTTAGAGGAAGCCCATTGACTTTCATAGGCTTTTGATATGATTTGTGTTTTTCTCAGTGAGAGAACGCCGCCTTTCGAATCACTACGTACATCTTTTTTAAAACAGGACCATCAAGTCAGGAGTAATAGTCAACCAAACTGTTTTGACAGTACCTTATTGATTAATAACGTTTCATAAGATCCAGTACTTACAAATTCTGTCTTTTTATAAACACAACTGTAGAAACAAGGTTCAACGCCATCTATTTTGCCTGATGCTTTAGCAGTTAGGAGTGCTTCAAAGGTGACACCATGTTTCTTAGCACACTCTTCTACAAATGGTTTCACAGCAGTCATAATAGCTATTTTGTCCTCTGCATTTCCCTAAAAAGAGATACGAGGATAATCAATTTGTGAATTAAAATTAAAATTATAAAAATATTCAGTACAACGACGAACTTACGTGAACCCTATTCAAACACACGGCTATGCAGACAACCAAACAGATTATTTTATACATGATTTAAATGGTTCTGCACTCCTAACACCTTCGAAAATTTTGCTGGATATGCTTTAGAATCAATACTGCAAGGCTATTTATATTTAATCACTAAATATTATAAAGCGATTTATGTAATGATATTGTCAGTATTTCATGTCATAATACCCGTAACGACAGGAAATGTATCAAAATATCCCTTTTGTTTATCAATGACTTTGCCATAACAGATCAAATAATAATTATCATTACGTACACACGCATAATACGTTATGTCATTATAGATAATGTTTTCAAATTAAACTGATCTTTTTGTAAATTAAAGATTAATTTACTTCATACATAGGTATTACCTTATTGTATTCTAGACTGCGTACAGGTTGGTTTAACAATCTGTGTGAGTTTGAGTTGATTTCCTCGTGTTAACGCAAGAACTGAAATAGACCCAAGGTCGTTTTGGACCTTTGGACCTGGTCTATTTAGGAGACCCAGTGCTGTCTTACGGGTGCTGACAGTGACCACTAAGGTGATTTTAAAGAGGTATCTTCATTATGGATTGTCTTTTAAGTCGGCAGATAATGGGTATCTGCCGGCATGTGAGACACAATAGAAAACACATTGTGTCTCGCGTTTATGTACACACGGCCACACATCAACCTATACAAAACCAGTATATCCTGGTGTCGCGTCGCATCATCTTTCCACACATTTAACGTTCAGTTTATACTGGTTATGTATAGCTCGATGTGTAGCCGTGTGTACGTCCCTGGCATATCAGGAGTTAATGTAGTATGCGGTGCCAATTCCTCCATTTCTGTACCTAAAATAAATCCAATCATGTTGTAAAGGAAACATCAGCATTGTTTATATTTCTATTGTTATCTCTTAATGGAGACGTAATCGATTTGTCTCCGTGTCGAAGCCTTGTCTGCACAGGATATTGGTTTTCTTTAAGTTCCTTTTGTTTTAGTATAAAACCCACCAAATGCAACAATGAAATATCAGTTGTTTCTCGAATTTCATTGTGATTTACAACTTAGAATTACCTACTTAACAATGTTCAACTCTGGTGTTGTGTTTTGTATTATTGTTGCGGTGTTCCTAAAGAATGCTTCGGTAAGTATTGCGTAAGTTTCCACTAGTAGCTTTTACAAGGATTTGCTATTTTCTCCATAGAATTCTTTAAGTGGACTCGAGCGACAGTTAGTGTCGTCATCGGTTAGGTTAACTCTGGCAATAACAGCATCTAATATTGTTTACCTTTGTCTTCCGTATTTTCATTAGTCATTAGTTCATTCGGATGCCCTATTACACCGGGCCCTTCTCCAATCTCTCAAATCTCTGAATCCCTAACAATACTAAAATTCCCAATTCCCAAAACGCCGGTAACGTACTTGTAACGCCCCTGGTGTTCCAGGTGTCCGCGAGCGACGCCGAATGCTTACCATCAGGTGATCCATCTGCTCGTTTACCGGCTTATCCCATATACGAATAGTCAAGTTATCATCGAATAAAGATGTTTTCAAATAGTATCGTACTAGTGGTCAAAAAATTAAAGCTATTTACCACCAACCTAACTTAAATAACAGACCAAAGGGAAGAACCACTAAGTCCCTAATTACTGTATCTGTGTCACTCTTTACCAAACTCACTTAACTAATATGTTTTTTTATTTCCAGGCAATAACTGATGAGCTGAAAGCTCACATAGAAGCAAAGTTCTTGACAGTCGGAGCAGAATGTATCAAAGAACATCCCTTAACAATTGAAGACCTGTCTGCATTTAAGAACAGAGTTTTCCCTGACGGCGAAAATGCTGGATGCTTCTCAGCTTGTATTTTCAACAAACTTGGATTGGTAAATATTGCCCACACACTTTTTTAAATAAAAACCTTCTAGCAATTGCAATCACAATCATTATAAAGGTCTATTCAATATTAATAAAGTTTGAAAGTATTAACCGAGCAAAAAGGGAAAGACATACTGAAAAGATAACTTAAACTTCGCTGTATGGTAATCATGTCATCACTGTACCTACGTGAGCACCAGTGCTGATTACAGGTTGTCCCAGTTCCCTGCCTCGTTACTCCAAATTATTTTTGGACGGCCCTGTTTCCTTGACTGTGATGATACATGAAATAAGAAAAACTGAAACGACAAAATGAACTAAAATAGTAAACAAAAACCGTGAAAATAATTGAAATTATTATTTGCTTTCCAGTTTGACGATAAAGGTACTTTGTCCCACCTGACAGCGCTGGAAAACGCTAAGAAAGTATTTAAAGATCAAGGAGAGTTGGAAAGTATTGAGAAATTTCTCACCACTTGTGCTAAAGGTAATACATACGTTTAGATTGCATACTTGATTCTTCTAAATGTAGGTCTCTCGAGGGATATGCCGTAGTAGTCTCCCAACAGAAGCTGATGGTGGCGATCGGCATCAAAAATTAATCGTTTGTCACTTATTGCCTAAACATAATTATGAAAATATTGGTTAACAAGACATAACATAACATAACATCACGCCTTTTATCCCCGAAGGGGTAGCCAGAGGTGCACATTTACGGCACTTAATGCCACTGTACAATGTAACACCCACTTTTCACTATTTATGTTAAGAGTCCCATGTAATAGGGGGTGAGCCTATTGCCATATACTGGGCACATTTCCAGACTCCGTGCTACTACTGAGATTTTTAAAACCCAGTAATACTTTGCCCGACCCGGGAATCGAACCCGAGACCCCTTGCCCGGCAGTCACACTTACTGCCTCGTTGGCCGAGTGACCACACGAGGCAGTCTAACAAGGTTAACAAGGTTTCGTTTATATTAAACTTAACCGATAGTTTTCTGAAATGATAGAGATCAAGGGTAGAATTTACAAGTAGTATGTGCAATTTGAATAATAGATATAGGTATCGGTTCTGTTAACAATACATCAATATCTCATTGATGACACGTATGTCGACGACATACGTATATACGACGTCATACGAAGACCTGCTACAATTTATCTTTGTTCTTACGTTTCAGTAAACGACGAAGAAGTATCTGATGGAGAAAAAGGCTGCGAGAGAGCAAAATTGGCATACAACTGCTTCATTCAAAACTATGAACAAGTATGTATCACTGTTATTAGTCTAATTTTATCGTGATTTATTAGTAACTAACTTAGTACGCGCAATCCCGTTCCCTGCCGTTCCCGTAGGAATTCCTTGATTTTTTTATGTCACAAGAGCCTTCTCCTGGCAATAACAAACACAACAAAACATATCAGCCAAATTTGTCTAGTCGTTCTGAAGTTATACTATGACAATGGGAAACGGGTTTCATTTTTATATGTATATAAATCTGCGTACAACTAATTCTACTTATCTATCATATATATTCACGCATTATAAAAATTAAACTGCTTTATAAAACCTACTACATTTCTTAATCTCGATAACGCCATTTTATTTATCTGACATAGTGATTAACGATTCAGAACTTCGAATTCCCTAATTCTGGATAATTAATACTGGCAATTTTCTTTTTTTCACAGCTCGGATTCGACCTTGAGTTTTAAAGGAATCGCGAAGACAATTCCTCAACTGCTTCCAATTACCTACACGTGGATGCACTACAAATATTTGCACCCTTATGTTTATATGCAAAAAGGTTTAATATAATAATGTTATGTGTTAGAGAGCTAGCATTAGTATTACATCACGGATTGCGGACCTACTATAAGATTTACTTTTAATCATATTATAATTAATTCATCTATATTCGTTTGTTTGATTTACCTACAACAATTCGCTTCATCTCTAAAACCTTGCATTTTTAATTACACCATAACAAGGACGTTACAAAAAAGGTGGATATAAAAATGATGTTTATACATATCACCATAACAAGGATGTTTATTTATTTGTCTACCACAAAAAATAAGGTCAGTAGAAACTCTTTATCATAAATACGAGCAGAAAATATTATTTTCATTGAACTGTCAGAACAGATAAAAAAGCTAGTTTATCTGAAGTCTCTAGTTTAAAATATTGATAGTCAAACTAATTACACCTAGAAACCAGTTACAACTGGATAGAACTGATAAATTTGCAAACTCATCAAGTCATCATGATACAGCCATCAACAACAGTGACCTTTACTATTAAACAAATTACTTTTTCTAGTATAAATGTGATGCACACGATTTTATCAGCTATTCACGATTGAACTACTATTGAATTATTTCCACTAGCATGTTATACCTACTATAATAAAAAAAGATAGAAATTAAAAGAAGTAAGAAAATTAAAAATGTTAAGAATCACGTATCATAATCTACTATATAAAAATAAGTCAGGTTTTCCTTCCTGATGCTATAACTCTAGAACGCACGAACCAATTTCCACAGTGTTGCATTCGTTGGAAAGATCTCAGGCTCCGTAAGGTTTATCAAACATAAAACAAAAAAGAAATTCTTTATCTTTTAATCACCAAATGAAATGTTACATAAATGAACCCATCTGGTGGCGAAACGGATTTCGCCGGGTTTGCTAGTAAAATATAGAGGTAATAATAATATCTATCAATATCAGATAATATCTCAAAATCTACCTAATTAACGAATGAAGTTATTGATTTAAAAACTTTTATCAAATTAGTCAATTTAGTTTAAAACTTTAAAAAATATTGTCAACCCGTCTGGATAAACTGCGTGTGGCTCTTAGAATATTTTTTTTTCAATGAATATTAGATTTTAAGAACCACCGCAGTAAAGAATAGACTTCTGATTAAAAACTGCCCTCAAATGGGTCCATTAATTTAGTAGTTATAGTGGCATCATAGATATAATACCGTCTTTAATATTTCCGTGGGTGGTATACCCATTCAAAATGATAACTCTCTATTTACGTCAGGGTTTTATAAACTTAAATAAAAAATGAAATAAAATAAAAATATAAATCATTTATTTCAGACCACAGAGTCCATAGGCACGGCTATTTTGTTAATTGTTACAACAAATCTTATTACTAATTTTAGTAACCAACAATGAAACTTAAGAAAAGTTCTTAAATCCTGATCACCAACTGACCGATCTGAAACTCAAATATGACCCCTATGTTCATCATTAAACGTCTTGTGGCTAAATGGGTAAAATCATCCAATAACTTCTTCCACCTTGAAAGAGTATCAGACTGTTACTGACTAAAAACCATCCCGTTCCTACTTCTGCTTTAAACCGGAGTCCCTGTAACTCGTTAGGTTGTCCGCAGCTCCGGAGACGTCTTGTGTTTGATAACATGATAATGATTACCATCTCTCTACATTATATTCATTGAGGCCACTACAATGGGTCCAGTTAAGAGTTAAGTTCCCTATAACATAGTATGACAGTCGCCTACGTGATGCCTCCTGAAGATAAAAGGGTTTGACATTATCTTTTGGCGTCTGCCAAGCTACCTGGGTATTTAAGGTTCAAATTCTATTCAAGAAAATTACATTAAGCATTTTTAAGGTGGGAAAACCATCGAATCACTTCTCCCACCTGGGTGACGCGATAGGGGAGTGTCTGGCTCTCTCTCTGACTAAAAACCACTCCGTTCCTATTCCTGCAGCTGGAGACCTAGTAACCTGCTACGTCCTTCTCGACCTATCCATAAGTCAATGAAGCAATCTAACTGAAAACTAATTAAAATTATAACGATTTTTTGCAGAAACTACTAACTCTAACCTTTAACGATGCAAATATAAGAGGTAATAGTAAAAAAACTGACACGTACTTAATAAATTAGTAGTTTATTTAAAACATTAAAACATTTAAAAAACACAACTTAAATAAATGCTATTAAATAATAATTTCAAATGTTTCCATTGAAACTGCTGATAACGATGACTCATCAGAAATCAAAGTCGAATCCATACTGAAAAAAATTACAACAAAAATATTAAAATCGTGAGCTTTCATCTGCATTTGGGATTACAGCAAAAAGCTGATAAAGAAGATATCGGTTATTATTGCTTACACATAACACTTATTAATAAGGACAAAAACTAGAACATTTCATATACCTAGCAACGTCAATTAATATAATTGATATTGGTTTGAAATTATCTTATCTATTGCCGTGAAAAAAATAACGTTTTACTGCTACTATATAATAATTTTTATTTCTATTAAAATCAGATTACCAGAGACAAGCAGATTAAATATTGCACCCAGCGGTTACCAGTCATGTTATGTAAAAATAATAATTAATGCCACTGTACAATGTAACACCCACTTTTATTACTTGTCCTATGGAATAGGAGGTGAACCTATTTTTTTTTATGGCATAAGCCGGTAAACGAGCAGACGGATCACCTGATGGTAAGCAATCGGCGTCGCCCATGAAGACCTGGAACACCAGAGGCGTTACAAGTGCGTCACCGGCTTTTTGGGGATTAGGAGTTTGAGGATCGTTGGGGATTCAGGGATTGGGGAGATTAGGGAAGGGGAAGGTAATTGGGCCTCCGGTAACCTCACTCACACGACGAAACACAACGCAAGCGTTGCTTCACGTCGGTTTTCTGTGAGGCCGAGGTATCACTCCGGTCGAGCCGGCCCATTCGTGCCGAAGCATGGCTCTCCAACAGTGAAAATTGCCATATAGCCATATAGCGGGCTACTACTGATTTTTGTTTTAACCCAACAATACTATGACCGACCCGGGAATCGAACCCGAGACCTGGCAGTTGCACTTGTGACTACTCAACCAACGAGGCAGTTAAGTTATGAGTCCTACCTTTTTTGAGAAATAAATTAGCCCAAACTTGTTGCCATTTTACACCAGGTAGGACATTAAAATCTCCTTTACAAACCCATTACTAAGAACTTTCTAAAAACCCAATAATATTTTTGACTACCAAACCGAGACTTGTTGCACTTGTGACCAATATACGACCAACAATGCTAAGTAATCTCCTCAGATATGCTATAACGATTTACCATCAGAGAAATACTAGACTTGTTTCATTAAAAAAAAACTCACTTTGTCAGCATTATCTGTGAAACAATTGAAAGCTAACTTAGCTCTATCACATCCTTTGTTTCCATCACTCGTGTTCTGTTGGTTCACTGCAAAAAAAAACAATATTATCTGTGACTACAAAACTATGCTTCCATTATTATTTTGTATTATTAAAATTATGTAAATTTAATTTCACATATCTTCAAAAGTTACCTGAAGTACATTTCTCCATAATCTCATTGACATTTTTAATGTGTTCCTCGTTGTCTTTGAAGACTTTTTTGGCATTCTCCTGCGCTTTCATTGGTGATATCATTCCCATGTCATCCATCTGCAACCACAGACATGAAATTACATCTATTTTTTTTTTAATTCAAAGCTATTCTTATTATTCTATTTTCTTTAAATATAGAATGACTACAGTCATTCATTAAAACTAATTTACTTACTGACTGAAAATACTTTTTATTAAATGCAAATAGGTGACCTACTTCATACGAGTTTATTCCAGACAAACTCAGCTTACTACTTATTCGTATTACTTTTTAAACTAGCCATATTAGAAGAGTCATCATGTGGCAATACATATATTTAAATAACTTTAAAAGTGCACGACCATCTAAGTGCAGAGACAGAAAACTAAATATTACTTATCTTTTTCTAGTGCCAAACTGTACTTACCACTCCGATTTTCTTGAACAGGCAGGCTACGAAACACTTTGGTTTCTTCCCATCAGGGATCATTTTGTTCCTAAAGGACCTGATATCAGACAATGATAGGGGATGTTGCTGTATACATTGAAGACCAACTGTTGTTAACTCTTTTTGAATAACTGACTTTTCTCTATCTGATAATGCCTGGAAGAAAAAACAAAATACACTATGTTAAAATTCGAATATAATATATTAATATTGAATTTATAAAAGTAAGATTAATTTGAAAAATACAAATTAAACAGATAAAGTTCAAGAGCATATGCTGAATATAAACTTACCGCAACATTTTTTATTAAGAACCAAAATAGAATAACGTATCCAATACGAATCAAGTCAGTACAGGTACTCATGATGATGAAAAGTAATAATTATAAGTAATATTGAATAAAATGAGGTCTGTTTAGTTACAATTCAATTTTTAAATTAGTTCAGAAAATTCAACAAATAACAATAACTAGTGAAGCATAGGACAATAAATATGAAATGCAGTGAAAGTAGTAATTTGAAATTCGGTAATTGAAAACTAAATGTGTTGTCGTATCAATCCACAATATCAGTATGATGTCAAAATTCCTCTTATCCTATTTATATAAAATAGACTGATAATACACGATGAAACAGCTAAACTAGATGAATGGTTGATTTGGAAAACCTCGACCTTCGATTTGGCTAGCGGAACTCTGCCCTAAGGTTTGAACAATTGAACTGACGACTAAGCTAGATACAATTCGATTCATGGTAAAACGAATTGGGTAACTAGACAACATGAAACATGACTTAAATTTTTACAAGGACTCCAATTTTCCCTTGTGCGTACTACTAAGGAGTGGAATTATTTACCAGAGTCTGTATTTCCTAAAGGGTATCTATAACTTGGGTGTCTTCAAGGCCGGGTTTGATTATGGGACGACGTGATCCATCGTAGACCGCATCATCGCTTACCACCAGGCGAGATAGCTTTCAAACGTCGGCGAATTAAATATAAAAAAAGAACTAGGTCATATAAGGTATAGTATAGTAGGTTATAAGTATTTATATGTAGGTGAGCTATGTTTCAACACATTTTAAATTCTTTAAAGGCATAACCACTGCAAAATTTTTACTGCGGATTCGCACCATTGCTTAAGAGTGTACATGTGCTACAGACTGTCGCTAGCAAAGGAAATCTTAATAAATAAAATAACAGAAATATTCGGAATTTCATTATTTATTTGCATCTTAAATACAGCAGCGTTTCTATCCGTTGGTGGAGGTCTCAACCTTTGTCGCTAACGTTAAGGTTACTGGAAAAAAAATACCTGAGTCACTAGTATATTGTCCACCAGTTCCTTCCAATAGCTTACTACTGGAAGAAACTGGTGTAATACTGTCAATTGTTGCTAAAGTCTACCGTGATAAAGTCCATACGTTAATAATAGCAATATTATAATGTATATTTTAGTTATGTATCACACTAATATTATAAATGTGAAAATTTCTTTGTTTGGATGTTTCTCTGTCAATCGCGCTAAAACTTCTGGAGCAATTTCGATGAAATTTGGTATACAGACAGAGTATTTTTATCCCGGTTAAATGCTCCCATGGGATAAAACAGGAATCATATTCTACGCGGACGAAGGCTCTACGCGAATGAAGGCATGGGCAACAGCTAGTTTTGTATATTCTTACTAGTTTCATTTGCTAAATGCATACAAAACAAAAACAGGCATGTTTTAAAATCTTACCTCTCTAATTTCTCTTAGACAAGCGAAAAGAATATCAACACGCTTCATATGAGCTTCTTCATTCATTTCTGAATTATCTCCATTTTCTGTGGATAACGATATGTGGAAATAATTATGAGAATAGTGAAATTGAATGCTATAATATATTTTAAGTGTTCAAAATCTATTAATAATTGTAGAATTTAAATAATATTACCAGTGAAGCAGCGATCTAGTTCATTTAAGATCCTTTCAGCGTTGTCTTGTTTGCCAGTTACCTTCGTCAAAGATTCACTTAATATGTCCTTGTTATATTTGCCATCTAAATCTAACTGAAAATGTTTATATAATAAATTATTTTTTTCTTTTACAATTTAAACTGGTAAGTTAATATTTATTAGCTGATGTTTCATTATTTTTTGCAAAAATTGTGCTTCAATCAGATAATACTCGTATTTCAAAATTCAAATTTATTATTTCTGTTTAACACGTTAAACGCCATGGCAGTCACTGGTGACCGACATTAGCGGAGGATTTGCCTTCAATAGTTTTTTATTGGCAGCCAATGCCTTAACAAAAAACATATTTATTGATCACTTTTCAAACACATAATACTGATGGCACTCTATTGCACCTACACTTTTTATCTCTTTAAGTGTTCTGCCACATTTTAAGTTTAGTATCTGTACTTACAAATCCAGCATCTGTCATAACGCATTTCTTGAAACACTGATCAAGATTGTCGTCGGAACCAAAACTCTCTATTTCCTTTTCATCAATACCACATCCATGCAAACAATCATGAGCGATAGATTCCAGACCATCCAGTAGAACTTTCTTGTCTTCATCCGATAAGCACTGTAAAGTAACCTTATTTTTATCATACATTTAAATAAATTGGTCCCAGACACTAACTTTTTCTCTTATGTCTTGGGTGCGTCTACAAACACAATAGTGTGCCTTAAAATTTTATCATCATCATTAGCCCGTGTTCGTCCACTGCTAGACATAGGCACGCCACTGAGCTCGGTCTTCAGCTCTTCTTATGAAACCACTGCCGGCCACCTTGCAGATGTCGTCACTCCACCTATGTACGTACTGTAGGGACACTACTACACTACACCCTTCACTAACAACATTTGCACCAGAATTTCCTACTTATAAAAATATTGTAATATCTAGATTCATTTGTATTTCACCAAAATGAAATTGTACTATGTAATTTACAACACATACAGCACTGAATTATAATAAAAATAGAAAAACTTACATGTACATTTCTAAAATGTACCGCCACAACTGCAAAGCATAGCAACAGCACCCTGAACTTGCACATTTTGGAATGACAAAAGGTCCAATAAAATACTCACATCCCATTTTATAATGCGATGATTTCACTAATCGTCGTCAAAATCATGTAATTTCAACAACTCTTATTATTCATGACCAGCTTAATAAATAAATGTTGAGAGATAATTACATTTAATATTTGGTGTTTCACAAATATTTGGAACTTTGTTAACTCTTTTTTGAATATGAATGTAAGGGTTCTTAACCCATTTAGACCGAAAATTATTTTCGTGAAAAATTTTAGTTATTTTGACTTATATTCATTAAGAGGGGTACAAACAACAATAAAAAAATATAAAAAAAAATATACAATTACTGGGGAGACGTAGGGGGGGTGTACCATATCGGGTACAGTAGGACTATATGCATACAAATATACAAGATTTTCCAATTAGCGAATTTATTAATTTTTTTGTGTGATACATATTAAAACATTCCGGGATAAGGTACAGATATTTTATTTTTTTGTTCCTGCGAATAGCATTCAGTTTTGTGTACAGGATTTATGCCAACTGCATTGGAACACACTGAAACCATGCTATTATCGTACCACCTACAAATTATTACATCATCAGAGACGCGATAATCGTAGAAGCCTCTTTCCTTTTTTTTCTTCTATGTGTCTCAACAGGCAAATTATTTATATCGATGTTATCTTCCACACGAGTCTTCATCAGTTCGATCCTCATGGGCAGGGATACTGTCAGTATAGTGCTGGTAGTAAAAAAATATCTCTTCCCTGATTACTCATATCATCATCTTCTTCAAGAACTATTGCAATTTCGTGCAGTGTCAGTGGTCTGAAATAAAAATAAAATAAAATCAGGTTTAGATATAGTTATCTATTAGTATACTAGATAGTAGGTACAAGAAGATGTTGATGTTACATAAACCTACTGTACCATATGCGGTACACCTTCTTTACGACCAAATATATCTTACTAAACTAACCTTACCGAAAATTGTTTACATGTATAATATTTCTTTAGACCTACTCTGCAAAATAGTAACGAAAAATAATATTATTTACAATAAATAATATGGAACTTACCTTTTCGAAGTCATTGTATATATTTCCTGTAGTCCTAGCTGGGTGTCTTCGATAAAATTTTCAACGAAATTTGCATAAAAATACTGTTGTATTATTGTAAATGGAAAGCTAACACTCTGAACTAATTGTTACAATTAAAAGAATAAAATATTAATTTGTGGGTAGGCCAAAATATTTTTATAAACTTACTGTACCACATGTGGTACAGTAGGTCTATATGGGTTAACATGCATAAATACAAATACATCACCTCACTCTTGTAGGCAGAAATTATAGAACACGAATTGCTACGATTCTTACATGCCTCTTTCATTTCATCAACAGACATTATTATTTTCGTGCATGCTCGTCGGTTAATGGTACTTTTAATTTGGCCCTTCTTTAATATATCGCCAATCTGCTCGATATGACAGGTATGTTCGGGTTCTTAACCCGAACATACCTATGTATGTATTACAACGATGAACCTCAAAAAATGTTTAAGGTTCATCGTTGTAATATTTTATTCCCAAATCCAGCTGTTGTTTTTTTAATCGTCACCCGATATTTGAATTTTCTCCTTGTATAGATGCATTAGCTGATAGATACATTTCAAAATACGTAAGTTCACATACCCACCTAGTTCCAGAACAACGAACGGTTGGCGGATCACAAAAAGATTGTTAACCTGCGATAACCGTATATGCGAGACGTCAATTTCTTCGCCCCTTAGCACCATTTTTTTAATTACATACTTAACTAAAATCGAAAAGGTAAAGGCTTTCCTGCGTTATTACAAGTGTGACGATTTCTATTTCTGTTTTTGCTACCATATCGAAAACAATAAGTTGCTTCCGTCCTTGCGTCACTGCAAGCTGCAAGGGTGCCAACTGAAAACCAATGTTAGATGCTTATTGTGCCCAGCTCATATTGAGTTGGAAAGCCCTTTTGTCATGGGCATGTTGCCACCTTCTTATTCTTTTATATATAATTTTTTATGTATTTCTTTTTTTATTTTTTGATCTTAATATTCATGTTTGTGTATTTGGTGTATCGTGCCTAATAGAAAATAAATTCTTTCTTTCTTTTTTCTTCATTTAACTACAACTATTAAAACGAAAACTACAAAAAAACGTATTCTCACTTTCTATGCAACCCTACTTTGCTGACAACGTAACCCTCATAGGAAATAGTACCAATACAATACATTTGCTACTTCCTGAACCTATTATTTACTACACACAATAGAAACCCATCAGGCTAATTCTCAACAAACATAATGACCATGTTTCACACATTCAATGAGAGCCGTATTATATTTTATTAGTTGCACTAATATGTATAATGGAAGTACACAAATTCTAAGCTACAGAAGTAGTATAAATGAGCCAGAAAAGGGTTAAGAAGAGGATTGATGCAAAAAGAAAACATTGCGGCATTCAAGATAACGTAATGACTAAAGATGAGAAAGGTATGTCTTAACAGAGGATGGAGGAAAATAAGATTTCTAAGGGCTATTATCCACGTTGCCTCATTATGAATCATTCAATTGACGTAGACAAATGCATATTTGTTATTAGGGACGCATGACGTACGGTTGACGCAACCGACGTTGCCGCAACGTGGATAGTGTTTTGTTACTACGCAAAATGCAAGCATTTGTCTTGCATTCATCAACTGAGGAAACCGTGCATATGTCGTTTACAGAGACAGTAGAAATTTAAAAAAGTAATGGTACAAATAAATAACACTAATAAAAGTCACTCTAGAATAAAGTACTTAGACCTTATAGGAACGATACTAGTAAAACGAAGCCTAGTCTTAGGCTCTTTTTTACTACAAGCCTAAAACAAAATACAATACTGAAAAAACGATATTTACGAAGCACATTTCTTATATTCACAGTGAGACATATTGTGCATCACAAACGTAGAAGAAATTATACGTTCTTTGACTGTAGTTACTTAATTACAAGATACATGCAGTGCTTGTGCATCCAGAAGAAAACGTGACGGTAATTATCTATCACGTGCAAATAGAATACTGTTTTGTATGAAACATGCCTTCGACAAACTGAATAATACCTTATTGGTAATGAAACAAAATGTTATTTTCCATATTAAGAGCAGTGGTAACAAGCTTACATCTCTATCTATTGGCAATCTAAACCGACTGTGACAAATTCAATCTTAAGTCAATCGAATTGAGGTCAATTCCAAATATTTTTAATAATGACGATTTCCTAGGTCGGGTTAAGTATTAATTGAGTTTGATTTCTGACATTAGTTGCATGGGAAAGCCTAGATCGAACGTAGGCAGATATGTGTTGTGTGATTGTGTGGTCAACATCATCATTTATATATCTTAAAATAAAACGAAATTAGTATGTGGTATCATCAAGCATTTATTTCTTAAATAACAAAAATATAGAAAATTTCATTTGTGTTTCAGTATGTAGTTCTTTTGTTTTTATATCACTCCATCTGAAAATTAAACATTTAAAAGTTAATTTAAATTAATGTCATCAATCTGAGAGATATGGGTTTTCACCTTTTAATTGGCCATCTATCTGGCTTTAACTTAAGTTATTCTATCATTCCTCACACAACCTATCTATGTTTTCAACATGTTTATCGATACAAAGAAAGATTTTACCGAACTACTAATAAATCTTCAGAAAATTACGTATAAATTACTTATAGGGAAAAAAATGCGTTGTATCTACTAGATGACTTCCTCAACTGGACAAGTGGCTGCGGATGCGACTGTTAAGTGAGGAGCTCAAGTACGATTTAATATTAGCCTTTAGGGTATTTAGACCTATGTTAGGGACATTTATGAGTTGAACCCATAGTAAAAGTATAGAAAGATAGGTCCTCAACTGATCAAAATGTGAGTTACATATGACATGAGCAACATCGCTTCTGAAATTATAATGCTTGGTGTTATGTTAATATTTTGCCATCTAATTACTTACCTTCTTCTTAGTCTCAGCTATACACTCAAACAGAAGTTTAGCTCTATCGCATCCTTTGTCCCCATCGCTAACATCTTCGTCATTTACTGAAATTAAAGAATATTTTATTTGAAACATGACTATCAATTATGATGGAAAGACTGATACTGTTGATAAAGTGAAAGAAGATTTAAGAATTTTAGCAATTGGCCTACGGAGACAGGCTTGAGGTAATGTATGTATGTATGACATTAAATAAATATAAAAAAGTAATGTATGTATGTATGATCTTAAATAAAAAAAATATGAATATTTTGAATAATAATGTTTCAAGAGCTGATAATGAGACGGCAAGCAAAGAATTTCGAATCCAGTTTCCTGTTCAATCATATTGCTATCTGGTTGATTTGATGGACAATAAATTTAAACTCAGTAGTTACGATTGTTTGCCTAGTTGACCCATTGTACGGCAATACTCTCCATGCAATACATGGATCTCACGGCATAACTACCAAAAAGTGCATGAATGTGTGACTATTAATCATTCCGAGAAGAAAATAATGTTAAGTTTCCAATCTCGAAATCGATACGGCTTTGATGAAAGTCTGTTCTAACTGTGTAATCTTATAAATTGGAATAATTATCTAAAGCACCATAAAACTCACTTTTGACACATTCGTCTCCAACAGCTTCAACGAACTTCATAGCCGGCTCACTGGTCAGATGTTCCTTGGCGAACGCCATGGTGCTGTCTACGTCAAATTTACCTTGGCTGTCAAACTGAAATTGATTTTAAATAGGTCAGTATCAACAGTTTTAAGTGTTTTCCTACTAATTAAAAATACTATAGAGATCAAACATATTTGGTACTATAGAAACAGAAAAAGATTACTTCGAAAAGCAGTGACCAGAACTAAATCTACCCACTGCCTACCTACATAGATATATTAGTATACCAAGTTATTACTGACAAGGCCTTTATATCAACAGTCCTTGGCAGTCTTCTGTTGCTTTATGGACCTACTATCCATAAGAGGATTTGGCATAATTGCAATTCTGGGTGCGGATTAGAAATTGCACTTCAGGTTATTAGAGAGTACTGCTACCTAAACTATGTTAATCACGAAGTCCCTTAGTAGGGACTTTAAGTCCTGGTGAGACTAGGGGTGGTAAAAAATATATTTAAACTGTCAAACACCAAGCGGTCACCGGTGACCGCAACCTATTGTTCTTTAATTGTGTCTATATTGACGGTGCTCGACGAGTTAACGCCATTACATGGCTATCAACCAATCAAATACTTACAAATTCAGCTTTCTTCAAGAAACAGCTCATGAAACAAGGATCGATATCAGCAGCACTGGCCTTTTTCTTTGCTTCTTCAAATTGCTCCTCAGTGATTCCGAATTCATCTGCACATTCTTGTACAAAAGGGCGCAAAGCATCTTTTATACCTGCCTCTTCATCTCCAGATATAGCCTGGAATGTTAGTTTAAAGTGGTATCATCTTATAGTTTATGCGTCTTTTGTGATTGATTGACTGATTTTAGCCTGATCAGATGTCACAGTTATTTTTCACCAAAGTGTGATGTGTTTGATGGTAGTATGTAGTATATTAATTTTATGAACTAGAATGTGAGATTTAATGTAAACATAAAATGTGAGATATTGCTAGTTAAACTTGTACTCAATTCAATTCAATTATGAAAAAAAATCCAACTCTCGAATAAAAAGAACAAAAAAGGGTTATCTAGGATCTTCTACACTGAAAACTAATATAGAGGTAAAGTCACTTACATTAACGCTCACAAAACAAAAAAGCGCCACCAAAAACGAGGAACACCGCACAACGGACATTTTGCAATATTTTTTTTTTTCAAATTACAAGAACAACTTTACCAGTCTTCTAGGTTTATATATGAGGATGAATGTGACAACTGCAACATTTATATAAAATGCAGGTAAACACTTGCCACGGTAATTACGACAATTTTATCATTAAAATCAGTTTCACACCTGATGCAAAATACGAGGGACGTCAAACGTCCAATAAATTGTGTGTATTTAAAAGTACATTATCATCTACCGCCACAGAGGTATCACAAAAAATTGCAAATTGTTGCTGAAAATCATTTCGACTTTGATATAGCCGAAAGTTGGTGAACGATTAAATTTTTTAAACTATTATTACAAAATACACGAATATCTTTACCATCTTATCGTCATCATATGACAAATAAATATTTTTTGATAAAACTGCAAAGGTCATTTTCATCCGTAAATTAGATGTCTGTGTGAAAATGCACCATTTTATTAGTATTTAAGCTGTTACGTAAAACAACTTTAAGTGTGGGAGAGCCATGCTTCGGCAAGAAAGGGCCGGCTCTACCAAAGTCAAAGTCAAAATCATTTATTTCAATTAGACCAGAAAGGTACTTTTCAACGTCAACAAAAAAAATCGCAGTGATACCACAGAGAAAACCGACGTGAAACAACGCTTACGTGATGTTTTGTCCTGTGTGTGAGGTTACCGGAGACCCAAGTACAACCCTTCCCCAGTCTCCCCAATCTCCGAATCACAATCATCAAATTCCCAATTACCCAAAAGGCCGGTAACGCACTTGTAACGACTCTGATATTTCAGGTGTCCAGGACGGTATCGATTGCTTACCATCAGGTTATCTGTCTGCTCGTTTACCGACTTATCCCATAAAAAATGCAAATGAAAACATCAAGAAAATAAAAGATAGAGAAGAAAAACTAAGAAGTAGAGTGGAAAAAGACCATGATTATGAAGAAAAATAGGGAGTTAAAAAGACTAGAACTTATAAAGTTATTAAATAGTGTTTTGACAAGCATGCATAAAACATTGATGAATGCAGATAAAGCGAAAGATGTATGCCAAAATGGCCATTGAAACTATCGATCTCCATACAGACATACAAACTATAACTTGGTACGTAATAAAAAATATTAAATAATAACAGAAAACAGCGTATAATTAAACTCACTAAGGACACGAGATATTGCAATTACTATGTATGTTGTTCCCGCTATCTCACGATCATGACAATTTATAACATTTTTCACAGAACAATAAAATGTCCTCAATCTTGATTGTGAACTGGTGCTAATTGTTAGGTGCATCTTACATTGTTTGTACTATATAAAACTCGGAATGTATAGTCAAAATGTTTTTTTTATGGAATAGTAGGCAAACGAGCAGACGGATCACCTGATGGTAAGCGATCAGCGCCGCCCATGGACACCCGATGCACCAGAGGAGTGACAGGTGCGTTGCCGGCCTATTAAAAAATAATCTCTTTTCTTGAAGGTTTGAAGGTCGCTTATACGCGCATTACTTTTAAACCACACCAATAGGATAGATGACTAATTTTTGTTTTAATGTCTGGCTGGTACATTATTTAAAAAATTAGACACGTATTTTTATTATCATACAGAAACTTTCGACAATATATTGATGTGAAATATCGCGTGACGTCACTTCTATTGACATATACGTAAAAATGTCGTTTTATAATGAAACTATGATTAGTTTTATCTCAGTTTTGTAACCTTATACCTATGTTCGACAAAATAAAAACATACGTGTTTAAGATTTTTCATTATCTAACTGATGGACTGATGAGATTTTTAATTGTCATACCCTGTCATCATCCATATTGAATAAGGTCCCAGTTTCGTACGGAGGTTTAGGGGAGATTGCCAATTTAATAAATTGTAAGTACTGTAAACGTGTGATAAGTACTGTCTCGTTGATCAATTAGTTGCAAGTGCAATTCTAATCTTGGGTTCAATTCTACGTTTGGATGAAGTTTATTAAAAATATATCAATAAATAGCAGGGTATTTGAAATTGTGCTTAGTATATACTAAGCACACTTGCCATATGGAAATAGGCTCACACACATAAGACTCATAATAAAACTGGAGAATAGTGGACGTTACACTGCAGCGCATTTCTTCCTACCCTTTCTTGACTTTACTACCTCCGAATATTAAAAGGAGTGACGTCACTATTATACATTGTATATGTTTAATTGATACTGGTCTAAATATACAGAGTGTCCCTGAAGTCGACGATCAAATGGCACCAGGTGATCGGCAAGGTTCCAATAGTTATCAGAAAAATATAAAAATAATTCTAAGTCGTATCTTTCAAATTACAATGATTTATGTGTAATCCACGAAAAAGTATATTCTGTACCAGTCTTTTGATTCTTGTTGCAGCAATTCTTCGTTTTATCATCTGTATTTTTGCATATACGTTATTCTGAATAGTGCTTCAGTATTATGGAATCATAAATTCTGAGCCAACTGCTCTAGTTTGGAAAAAAAGTCGTTTATGACGAACCAAGTATTCTTAATACATTTTTCATCTGAAAGTGATTGTACTGAAAAAAATTGTACCTACTGTTCTAATACATTTTTTATCTTAAAGTGATTGTACTGAAAAAAATTGTACCTACTGTTCTAGTAGTGGTATATTTCATCATGTTAGCCCATTTAATAAGGATTCTAAAACGGTATACTACTAGGAAGTAGTCGAATGTAGAAAGAAATAATGCTCCTGCATTATTTCTTAAATTCAACACAAAAAAGTATTTTTCAATGAAACTTCGTTTCGAACAATTAATTTGAACTTGAGTGTACAAAAAGTTATGAATACATTAAGCCAGTACATTTACAATTAATCGTCGTTACGTAATACCTAAACAATTATAGTGTCGCGGAGAACCTAACGGGTAACCGGGGCTCCGGCTCGACGTGCAGGAGAAGGAACGGGGTGGTTTTTAGTCAGTAAGAGTCTGACACTCCCTCCCGCCTCACCCAGGCGGGGGCAGTCATTCGATGATTTTCCCCCCTTAAAAAAAAAAAAAAACAATTATAGTACCAGTGGAATGGAAATGTAACATGCGAATATATAAACACCCGCAAAACACGATTTCGCTATTAATTACGTGAACGTTCTACAGAATGCACGCGTGGTGGTCAAAACTTTTTTATTGGGGCGAAGAACTTCAAATTATGTCATTACTATTGAATACTTTTCAGTCTTTTTAGCATAGCGTTACTACTACTACTATACAGTCGTTTTTTTATTTTATGGGGGTAAACGATCAAACGGATCACCTGATGGTAAGCAATCGGCGTCGCCCATGGACACTCGAAACACCAAAGGTGCTACAAGTGCGTTACGGGCCTTTTGGGGTTCAGGAATTTTAGGATTGCTGGGGTCTCGAGGATTTGGTTTGCAAAATTGTAGATAACAATAAATTAATGCATTAATGCATAAGTGCAGTTTGCCAGCTTGGCCAATTTCAATATTCTACATTCGACACTTCTATACTGCTTGCCTTGTTTGTCAGAAAAAATATCAGAACTTTTCAAACTTCGATCTCCAAGTCTTAAGTGGAGGTTTTGACACTAGTAGTTAATGAATAAGAAACAAAAGAATTATAGCTTTCAAAAATGTCTGTATACCTCTTTAGTGACAATGAACATAAATTTTCCTATTTCGTGAAGAAGGTAAATAGTTTTTAGATTTTTCGACTAGTGGTATAAGAGACTGACAATCACCGTCCCGAAGATGACTTCCTTATCTAAATTTAACAACATAACACATAACATAACATCACGCCTTTTATCCCCGAAAGGGGTAGGCAGAGGTGTACATTATGCCATTGTACAATGTACCACCAACTTTTCACTATTTATTTTATGAGTCCCATGTAATAAGGGGTGAGGCTATTGCCATATACCGGGCACAATTTCAGACTCCGCGCTACTACTGAGAATTTATAAAATAGTAGTACTTTGCCTGACACGGGAATCGAACCCGAAACCCCTTGCCCGCGTAGTCGCACTTGCGACCACTCGGACAACGAGGCAGTCTTAACAAATCAACATAAAACAGCGTTACATCTGCATAATTAACTCGCGAAGATTAACAGATAAACAAAAATGCTAAATCACTATAAGATCCACTAAATACCACCTGCGAGTTAATCATATGCAATTATTAATACTGTACAAGTACAGCTTAGTTATTAGCAATTATGTGCATAGTATACGTCTTTCCTAGAAGAGCAAGATAGAGGTACCGTATCTAGAGGTACTTACAAGTTTAACTTCAGTCATCTATTTTACAAGTTTCATTAAAATAAGAAGCAAATTAATGGCAACAAACTTCATTTCTGGATTCGATGCCCCTAATGGGAATTCAAACCCCTATAAGTACAGTCTCTACTGTACTAATAGAAATCAAAAACTTATTATTGTATTCTGCCCGACAACAAAGCGCGATCACTCGTTGTTTAGCAGATGTAATACGCTTGTCCAACAAGTGAAAAAAGTTGTTATGGTAACAAATCGTATCAAGATTATGCATATAAAATAGACAGATATATTAAAAAGTAATAATAACAAAACAATTTCGATCGACCACATCATGATGACTACACGTATTGTGACGGCCTTGGGAGCAATCTCAGCGCCACGGTAAATGATTCTTCTTGGAATTAGAATTGATTGATTTAATTATAGTAGAGCTATTTATATCACTGTTACTATATTGTTGTTATTCACTATAACATAGTTTTATTTTCTTGATTAGTAAATACGTTTTTTTCACAGTGAGCTAAGTCAATTTTTTTTTAATCTTTTTGAAATTAAAATCAATAACTGCTCATTAGGACAGCTGAATAGAATTGTTTAATTTTAAGTTTAAAATGTTTTTGGATTTCAGTCCATTCCAGGAAAGATTTCAAAGGTGACACTATGGAGAGAAGTCAATGGCTTAGTTAGTAATAAAATAAATCACATTCAAACACATTAATCTATTTAATCTAATATTATGCGAAAATAAAATCTTCTGGCTTAAACTCGTACATACACTTCGCTGCGTAAAACGATGCTTCGCAGATGTCCTTGTATTTCTTTTCTGAAATTTTAAATACTATGCTTAGAAATAATCTTTGCAATGAATTTGTAATTCTTTTATAATTGGTACATTCGGCATAAACCTTTATTTGATAAAACATGTTTTTTATTCAAAAATCAATTGCCTTTAACTAGGCGCATATCCGATTTGTTAGGCGTAGCTCCATGTCGTATGGTATTCTGAATTCAAATTTAAAACAATACGATCGAAAAAGATGGTAAAATGTATCAGGATTAAAACTGCATCAACAGTTTTTGTTCAATCTAGCAATTATATTTCGGTAAGGGCCATCGAAACCTAAACTCTAAGGTGGGCCAATAAATGTGTCCAAAAGTGTATAAATAATTTTATGAAGTTAAATAATTTGTAAGAATAGTAAAAAATGTGTTTTATCTGAATCTTTAATTCTTTAGGGCTCGTACACAAAACTGTGATGCGACATCGCAACGTAAACATGTGCGAGCATCCTCCACGCATCGCAAGAACTTGCGAATTGATTCGCATCGCGCATCAAAATCTTATATTCCTAATATCTTCTTTATCTCTTGTTCCTGTATCTCCTAAGCAATAACAGGAGTGCACACTTCTTTTTACGAACTATGTCACGATCTAGTTTAATTTAACTCGTCGAGTACCGGTTTTGTAGACACAATTATAGAACAATAGGTTGCGGTCACCGGTGACCGCTTGGTGTTTGACAGTTTAAAATACGTTTAGTACGGTTGACAGTCGTCGAAGGAATGATCTCACTGGGAGACGCCTTTTCGCACAAAATCGCATCGCAGCAATTCGCATTGTAATTTTTTGCGTTGCGAATTCGCATCGCATCGCATCACAGTTTTGTGTACCAGCCCTGATTGATACATCTGCCACATACACGTATGTTTTCTATTAACAAAATATTGTTTCAATGTAACTAAAAGCAAGTCATATTACTTACGAACGTCTTTGCATTTTTCCACAGCTGCCTTTGCCGATTCCTTCACATCAGGTGGATACATGAGGTCAATCTGTTTGATTGAAGCTTCATAATTTAATTTATTGTTCTTTATCTGAAAGATATCAATAACGTTTAAAGACATTTGTATACTTTTCTTAATGAACCACTTAATGGTGAAATGGCACTTCCAGGTTTCTTAAACTATTTTCTAGTGTAAAGTTTAAATATGTCTACTTTGGTACAATGTTCAATTAGCACCTTTTGCGATCACTTACCACATTCGTCAATTCATAGATGCACGCTATATAGCACATAACTTTTCTGTCTTCTATAAACTTTCCCTTATCTATACTGCCAATTTGGTCTGAAAAATATCAATCAATGAAATCTCTGCTAACATTATATTTACCTACAACCGTTTCTAGTATTGCTTCATTGAATAAGTATAAGTATTTTTATGTACCTTCTGTCACACCGATCTTATTCATACAATTTTTCTTCAGCATTTTCCCAGAATTCTTCAACTGTTGTCTAGACATCTGTAATATATTAAGGAGGTCTCCTATCACATAGAAAACTAACTTCAAACTCAGTATTTCGTATATTTTCATTTTCATCTGTTACATTTATTATATCATTAATTTCACTTTTGTTTGTACTTACGGCATCACTTCCAGAAGCCAAAAATATAGCTATCACAAATAAACATATTCTTTTTTGATCCATCACGACACTCACTAGTCCCTTACTCAAATGCACTGTTTACTTAAAACCTACTTGTTACCATATATACGACGTCCCTATACTCTGATTGTATACTCATCAGCGTATCATTAGCAAAGCAAAGCAAATACATAAATTATCTTAGTCCAATTAACGAGTTAACGTCTTTCCATAACCTAACAAGACTTAATGCTGATTACAACAAGCTTTATTGTACTTTTATACCTTCGTTGTTTTTTTTTTAAATATCCTGGACTGTAATCTAAGCTATACTTATTCTAAATGTAAATATAATGACTTTTTTATAATGACTTTTTTTCTGTTAAAGTACGATTTTATACAAAAACTGACTGAAGGCTCATTTTTACTGTCATTTATATGACTTCTTATATCAAAATGAACCACGTGTTACTCAATATTCAAATTATATAAATTTTAATAGTCATGTTCTTACTTTAACTTCGGGCGTTACGTTACGGTATATTATCTTTAATTGCAATAAATAAAACTACATTATTATCAGTTTCATTAAATTTTTCTTCATTCAAACCCGATTTACGATGTTTAAGGGAACATGAAATTAGCTGGGTCGAAATCATAAATGCATTTCGCTGTCCAATAAGACGCTTCGCAGAGATCTTTGTAATTTTTAGCTGTAAAAACAGAATAATTAGTATGCAAATTCTTCTATACTGAATGCATAGTTTAGATTAAGCTAGTTACTGTCATTAAATATTAACCCTTCGCGTAATATAATAATAATAGGTAAGAAAATAGGACAGAAAATATAAATGTATATTATTGTGTAATCCTTTGTAAAATAATAATAGGTCTAGGCAAGATAGTGGCCAAACGTCGGCCTATCAAATACAAATAAGAAAAAAGAAATTAATAAGTACAGGTTAATATCCTGTAGAGATGTACAAACAACAAATTAATTAGAATAGGTTAAAGTCACAAAAAAGACGATAAAAATATTTTGTCGTAAAACATGGCATGATAACGTAACAAAACATTCTGAAGAGGTTATATAATATGACCGCATAGTTACACACACAGTAACATTGAGCGTCTATGATGATTTAAAGCTAATCAAGGTTGTAGAAAACGTTTGATCATTTTAAGGCAATAAAGTAAATCCAAAGGTTGAGTTTAAAACGACTATTAAATATTTGAAACCATTATTAAGTTCCGAGGGATAGCGAATACAAGATGTAATTTCTCGTTTTTTTCTACTAGTTTTTTTGGTGGCTAGATGTTTAATAACCTGTAGTATGCTGGAACCCAGATCTACTAGAGACGCAATAAGTGTTCTTTGTGTCTCATATACCGGTAGATAAGAGGCAGTCAGGTTACGTCAGTCAAAATATTAATGGATTTTAAAAACTCACCAACAGGTCTGCAGTGTTCTATAGCTGCCTTAACTGGTGCCTTCATATCATTGGGAAACATCATATCCACTTGTCTCAGCATCATATCATGGTTTATGGTGCTACCTTTAACCTAACAGTTATAAATATATGAACTGAGTTGTATATATAGAACTAATATAACTTTAGCAGAATTTTATTCGTACATTGAAACTTACGCTCTGTCCCATTTTGTAGACACAAGCTATGTAACACATAAAGTCTTTCTTTTCAATAAATTTGCCTTTGTCTACATCTTTTACTTCGTCTGTAATAATCATGAAAGAAGGATGAATAAAGAGGTAAAATAAACTTTAACTTCTGCTGATTACGAAATGATTTAAAAAAAATGCGCATTCAATTTTCGGCAACACGCGACACAAAATGTTTAAAGTGGAAGGAGACTTTGTCATAGGCACAGAATTTATCCACATACCCAAATCCACTTTACTACAAGTATTCAGAACAACAAAAATTTGTAATAAATAAATTATACATTTTAGAAACTTGGAACTAACATAATACCAAAAGACTTTGGACTCTATATCAAGATAAAAAAAATACATAGTTGCAAAATAATTACCTTCAGTAAGATCGTTTTTTGCAGAACACGTCTTTTTAATTAGCTTCCCAGAATTTTTTATTTGTTCTCTCGTCATCTGTAATAAAAAATTAGACAAATTTTCAGTTATTGGTAAGGCGTGGAAGAATCTGATAGCATTTCTCGAGAATTTGTCATTTTAAAGAATATAAACAAAAAATAAGTTAAGCTAAAATTGAGACTTACCGAATAAACAAAACAATTATTGAACATCACAATCAAGATAACCGAAAAAATAAAACAGTTAATGGAATACATTGTAAATAGAAGTTCTTTAGGAATCTGAAGATGGAACAATAATAGCGAATGGTAATGAAGTTGTTTTATAAAGACAACAAAATTTTTAATTACTAAGCTAAGTGTTACTTGTCACACAAGAATACTGCACTTAAAAATGACAAGATACAGTTTAAAAAGAAAACAACCAGTTAAACAAATAGCTCTATTTATAACTAACAGAATGAATTGAAAATATTCTACGTACCAGAGTATACTCGTATTTATACTCGATCAATAAACTATGAAAATTACAAAATGAAATTATTTATCCATTTATTAATTCGAAAAACATTAATGTACTTAATGTTCCGTAGAATAAAACATTAAGGAAAGATGAAACTGGCTGGGTCCTTTTCATACAAACATTTCGATGCGTAAAATACTCCTTCACAAAAGTCACTGTAGTTGTCCTCTGAAAAGAAATTTAAAAGGGTCTTAATAAGTTTCCTTGAACTCAAACTCAAACTCAAAAGCATTTATTTCAATTAAACCATAATTTGGTACTTTTGAAACGTCAACAAATATGAAATAAATAATAGTCTGTCAGTCTGTCCGTCAGTGAAGCTAGGCTAAGGCTAGCTAATAATCACGTTTATTCACGATTTTGGCATGCCTCTTTCATTTATTTTTGCTTCATATATTATACTCTTATTATACCCTTTATACTCTTTACTCCTTCTTTCTGTCCTTATATCTAGCTACTATTCTCTTTATCAGTCGTCATCTCATCTCTAATATTAATATTACCTAACATTTAAAGATACTTACGGCTATGGAAGCATGCTGCAACAGACTTTTTGACTGGCTCTTTGAGTTCTGGAGGATACAGAATGTCAATTTGCTTTGTTATGAGCGCCATATCGAGTTTGTCATTTTTCACCTGCGAATGAAAGTCGAAATTATTGTTACATTTCTTTATAAAATCATTAATACTTTGGAAACCTACGTCGTCTGGCATACAACGTAGAATATTTAAAGTTTTTTTTATGGCATAAGCCGGTAAACGAGCAGACGGATCACCTGATGGTAAGCAATCGGCGTCGCCCATGGACACATGGAACACCAGAGGCGTTACAAGTGCGTTACCGACCTATTGGGGATTAAGAGTTTGAGGATCGTTGGGGATTCAGGAATTGGGGAGATTGGGGAAGGGGAGGGTAATTGGGCTTCCGGTAACCTCACTCACACGACGAAACACAACGCAAGCGTTGCTTCACGTCGGTTTTCTGTGAGGCCGTGGTATCACTCCGGTCGAGCCGGCCCATTCGTGCCGAAGCATGGCTCTCCCACACAGTTTTCTAAGTTCTTCGGTTAAGGACTGTTTTAGGTTTTTTGTGATGGTGATAATATTTACTGTAGATAATAAGTTTAAACGACTCACCACTTGTAGACTTTTGTATATGCAAGCGACATAACACATGACATTACGGTCTTCAATGAACACTCCTTGTTCTATTCTCCCAACTTGTTCTAAAGGATAGAAAGATATCATACATTAATTTTCTCATAATCTCGACGATTATGGGTAAATTTATTAAATGAGCCAATGACGAGTTCTTTTTACCTTCTGTTACTGAGTTTTTCGGCATACATTGATTTTTTATGATACCCATAGTCTTTTTAACTTGTGCTCGAGTCATCTGTAACGTGAAAATGTTGCAAATTTAACGATCAGGCTGATTCAGTCTCGTTTTCTATTTATAAATGACTAGCTGTTGCTCGCGAATTCGTCCACGTAGAATTTGATTCCTGTTTTATCTCATGAGAGCATTTAAGCGGGATAAAAAGAATCCTATCGTCACCTAAGTCAGCCCATACCCTGCCTGTATACCAAATTTCATTAAAATCCAAAGTTTTAGCGTGATTGACGGACAAAATCCAAACAAAGAAACATTCACAGCATGATTGAACAATATTAGTGTGATTGATTGATAACGTAACATAATCTGATTTGATGTGGTAGAAGAGCTCATTGCCGGCTACATGCAAATATCTAAGAAAAGGAAACCAATAACAATACTCGATTTCGAAGTTACATCGATCGTGATCATCTCATCAACACAGGCGAAATAACCCTATCATTATAAAAAAATAATTAATATGTATAGTCACTAGCTACTATCCGTTTCACCTGCGCCGCTCCGCTTGGCGCATATCGATCGTTGAAATGGGCTATCCAACACAAAAAGATTTATCCAAATCTGACCAGTAGTTCTTGCGACTAGCGCGTTCAAACAAAGAAACTTTCTTAATAGTATAAGATCACTTACCCCATAACTGCACCCAGCACACAACACAACAAAATACACTAACAATAAACGATTCATTTGTGTTTCCAAATCGACTTCTGGACACAAGTCGTCCCCAACAAACTGAATGAAAACTGAAACCATTAATTTATAAATCTTCCAATTTATGTCCAAAAACTTTAAGTGTAACATGTGTTTAAGTTAATAGAATAATACGTCTCGTATTCATTTTTACATGATAACCATATATTAGCTAAACGTTTGGTGATAAATTATCAAGTCGTTAAATCCCAGGGTCTTTTTTAGTCAACAGAGAGTCAACAATCATTTGTATAAGTACATTGTTTAGAGGACGCTAAGTACTTTGATATGGTACCTATATTTAGGGTAATGAAGTGTTTCTACCACATTCTTGTATAGTTAAGTTATAGAGAAAGGCAATTTTTAACTTCAACTTGACCTTCAATAACTGAATTACGTTCTTTGCTGAACAAGGAGAGTGGATTGTCATAATCCAGAAACATGGCCGACGGTTTGAAGACCGTATCTATGTCACTGACAGTGTAGGTAAAGGATACTGCTACCGACCATAATCGGCACATCTTTTTAGACTGTTCTTTAAAGCGATTTACTTACATATTTGAATCACACAATAGTTTGTCCAACCAATAATAATTTGTACAATCTAGTTAGTTGCAGTAATTTAATAAAGTACGTGTAAAACAAACTAAATAGTTTACGTCATAAAGCACTTTAATTTGAACTTTTTACGTTCAAGGAAATACAAAATTTTGCGCATCGTAGTCGTACATACATTTAGCGGTCCAGTATGATGATTCACACAAGTCTTTGTATTTTTTTGCTGAAACAAATAAAACAATTTACAATATCAACGAAATTATAATTTCGTTGATATTGTAAATTGTAATTTGTAAATTGTAATAATATTAATAATTATTAAAAGTAAAAATTCTAGTTCCAAAGGTTATTGAGCATTTTTTTAAACGTTGCCCCACATTAGGATTTTCTCCTGTGTCGTGGATGCGTTTACAAACATACAAGTTCACATACACATCACACCCAGACCCGGAACTACAATCGAACCCTCGATACGTTGCGCGGCAGCCAGTTGCCCAACTACAGCACCGTGCAGTCAAAGAAACTCATTAGTCTTATAAGACTTTACTATGAAATCTATCTTCCAAAGGTAGAACTTAGAGCCAAGATGCGGATAGAAAACACAAAATATTAGTTTGTGGTACCTATACACGGCTACAAATCGAGCTTTACTTAACCAGTATAAACTGAAAGTTAAATGTGCGGAAAGATGATGCGACGCGACGCCAGAATAAACTGGTTTTGTATAGATTGATGTGTGGCCGTGTGTACAAAAAATGCCCATGACACAAGGTACTAGATGGATAAACCATAATTTGGTCGTTACCACACAAGTACATAACGACAGCTATTTATGTAAATAGCTGCGTTTATCTACGACCTTCCTAAACTATTTTAGCAGTGATTCTGTTTAGCAGTCAAAAAACAAATAGCCGAGCAAGTGTAAGTATCAGAAACATGAACCATTTGGACTGCTGCTGTAAAAATCTTCAATTTTTTGTTATTCATCTTAAATGTAATAATCTCAATTTTAAACTAGACGTGCAATTAAGAACAGAATGTAAAAAAAATTGACACGTAGGTACAAAAAGATCGCAAAAACTTAATGCTTTTATATTTTAAGCGAAACAAAATTGAAACATTGCCATTTCTGCTTGATATTTAATGGTCATAAAATCACCGGTTCAGCTGGTTGTTATAAGCTGTTAGGCATGTTGCCATTTCATCACTCGTTGATTTTAGAGGTAAAAACAAAACTTTGATCTTTAAATCTCATCACAAGTAGATATGTAGGTACCTGCTTATTTAGGGAAAGGTATATCCAATATTCTATTGAAATCTTCTTCTTTGGTGACTATATTAAAAAGCTTAAATAGTAGAATGAGTAACTTACTTGTCTCTTTACAGTGAGTAGCAGCTGCTTTGACAGCATCCCTCATCTCAGCTGGAAACATCACGTCCACTTGTTTGATCACCGCTTCATAGCTTAGTTTGTTATTCTTCACCTAAAGTACAAGTAAAATTGAAATAAAGAACTACTTATTAGATAATATTTATAAGTTCACAAAAATAAGCATCGACCTTATTCCATGGATAAAAATAATGATGTCATCATCATCAACAGCCTATAAAGTAGCCACTACTGATCAAAGGCCTGATCATAGACAAAGATCAAAGACCAAATGAATCTAATACGCAGAAAATATTAGTATCGATTTCAAACTTATAATCAGCAATTATAAGCCCAGGTTTCACCTTTAGTCAGTAGAGTCTAATAATCTTAGAAGGTACATAAAACTGGGAAAAGTCACATAGGTAGGTACTTGTCGTTGGTGGGTTTCGAAACCGCACCCTCATGAGGCCTTAAACCTCTCCGAGGCACCACGACATATAATGCGAAATAGTAATGTACTTAAGGAAAATCCTAATTGCCTTAACAATATTTGTCTTTGTCTGCTAGTTAAGGGATTTAAAAGTATGACATAACCAATTATAATATACCAATTATAAAAAGTAATATATAACCAACCAAAACTGCCCCGTTGGCTGAGTGGTTGCGTCTGCCAGGCAAGAGGTCTCGGGTTTGATTCCCGGGCCGGTCAACGAAATATAGGGCTTTTTAAAAAAAAATGTCAGTAGTAGCACGGAGGAGTCTGAAATTGTGCCCGGCATATGGTAATAGGCTATGAGACTCATAACATAAATAGTAAGAAGTGGTTGGTACATTGTACAGTGACATTAAGCGCCGTAATGTGCACATCTGTCTACCCGTTCGGGGATAAAAGCGTGATGTCATGTTGTGTTATGATAGAACCAACTGGAAAGTTATACATACCACTTGGCTCATGGTGTAGACACAGGCGATGTAACACATAACGTTACGAGTCTCTATAAACTTCCCCTTTTCGATGTCACCTACTTCATCTAAAGCCAGAATGATATCATAATCAAAGGCAATGACAACATGGGGTAAATTTAGTATTATTTATTCTTAATTATCTTCATTGAAATTATAATACTTACCTTCAGTCACATCGTTCTTCGGCATGCAAGACTTTTTCATAAGTTTGCCTGAATTTTTTAACTGCTGTCTTGTCATCTACGAAATAAAATGAAATGTTTTCCTTAAATACTTCGGTACCAATACCACATAATCTATTAAAAACAAAATGGTTTGTAGATAATTGTAAGATCTTACCCCATAACTTTGGTCAAAAAATAAAAATATGCTTAAAATGCAACAGAGTAGTCGAAAGGTTTTCATAATTAGACTTACTTCAGCAAAGTTCTGCGAAAAAACGTTTAGAACTATTTATAAGGAGGCGTTTACCTACTTAGCAGACATAAATGATTGATTACATAGGAAAATGTATTTTGACAATAAAATAATGTGTTGTCTAACCGTAAACTTAGGTAGACATACATAATAATGTCCTTATGGCATCCACTTTGTATTTTTTTTATCATTTACTCGTATATAGGCAGTAAACTAAAAACTAAAATATTTACACCTCAAAAAAAATGTTGCTTTTGGCTTAAGGCATCAGAAAAAAAAATTATAGGCAGTTAAATATTAAATAAAGTTATCCAAAACTACCACTCTTTCATTCTACCACTCTTTCGTTCGTTTCTCCATGGACAGTTCTTAATATTTTTTTAAGTACCTGCCAGGTGTTCCTCAAGGCATTATCATAGGGCCAATGTTAAAGATATTTCTGTAATTCAATAAAAAAATCTTTGCTTACCGTTACCAGTCAGACGTTTCACTGATATGATAAGAACATTAGATATTAATCAACACACACTTATGTAACATAACATAACATCACACCTTTTATGCCCGAAGGGGTAGACAGAGGTGTACATTACGGCACTTAATGCCACTGTGCAATGTAACACCCACTTTTGGAGCCTATTGCCATTTACGGGGCACAATTCCAGACTCCGTGCTACTACTGAAATTTTTTGAAAAAACCCAGTAGTACTTTGCCCGACCCGGGAACCGAACGTGAGATCCCTTGTCCGGCAGTCGCACTTGCGACCACTCGGCCAACGAGGCAGTTAGTTATGTCTTAAATTAAATAAACCATAAATAAATAAAAATAGATTTACGCATTACTTTTACGTTACGTTTAATCGTTTTCGTCTGAGTATAATCCAAGTTCGTAAAATTTTCATGATCAGTAATGAATTCATCAGTATCCATCAGGTTGCAAATCAGACACATTGTAAACTTAATCTCACATGAATGTATCACGTACAATTTAGCAGCATTTAATTGGAATTGTAGGGAACATAACTAGCTATTAACAATTTACCAAAGTAACAATTTACAATCGTGAAATAGTGTGAATAGGGCGACCACTAGAAACAAACCAGATGGGACAAAACCCAGTTTCATATTGTAAACTAGTGGCTTGCTCTCGTTGTTGGATTACACAATAACAAAGACCTGTCATTGGGTACTTGCCAACTAGTCAAATTTAATACTTTTACTCGAGCTGTCAAAAACGACAGTTTTCTATGAATTTTGTACGAGATTGTGTATAGTGACGTCCCGTTTTTTGAGCGTCAAGCAGCATACTCATTTCTTAAAAAAATACTGGAATAATGCTAAAATTAAGATAGTTATAAAATCAATTACTTTCCCCCAAGATTTTATACTGGTAATTACTACATTCAATTACACTGACACAATTATTTTATGTGAAAAGAACATAAAATACCCATTTCTGTAAACCAAATTACCAGAGATGATCATAATACCATCATCGATAGCCCATAAGTGGCCACTGCTGACCAAAGGCTTCCGAAGGCACTGAGGTTTGATTAATCACCACGAAAAGATGATCTGAATAAAATAATTAATCTAGAAGTAGAAATAAGTATGCACAGTTATTTAAAATCGACAAACAACTTAAAATATGGACACCATACAGACACTGTCATAATTCAGGTGTGAACCCGTAAGAGTACAATTAACCAATCACACGTCGAACTTCATATAAAGCGGTTATTGAAGATCAAGGTTTTCATTAAATTGGAGGCCATGATACTACTTACACGCAGAAGATAACAAATATGCTTCTGACAAAAATTATGAAGTTTTTTATATTAGTTGCAACATGTGAAGCTGTAAGTAGCTAATTACCTCTATTTTTGTTTTACGGACACTTGAATTGGACTTTAAGCCAAGATGAATCCTAGTTAGTAGTTTTGATAATGGCATTACCAGAAAAAAGTAGTGTAGAAACGCTTTCAGACATTCTAGCTGCTCATAATTTTGTACATTTTGTTTTTGTTAACATTTTAGATGACGATGAAACAGATCAAGAATACCGGTAAGATGATGAGAAAAACGTGCCAACCTAAGAATAATGCCGAAGATGGTAATTTCATAATTTCATTGCAACTTCATTTAAGGCACATTTTTTCTGTCTGTGTTGGTTCCCAATTTCAAATTAGCGGTAATTTTGATTTTAATGTTTCTAGAGAAAATCGACCCGATTTCCGACGGTGTCTTCATTGACGAGAAAGAAGTAAAGTGCTACATGGCTTGCATTATGAAAATGGCTAACACGGTGGGTACAAATATGTAGTCATATGTAATTTTAGATTTAAGATTTTGATCAACTATTAATTTGCATTTCTTTGAAGTAAGTTTCTTAAAATTAATTCTTATCAAAATCTAAAATAGAGAAATTGAGATTAGAATAATTTTGTAATGTAATATTGCAGATAAAAAATGGCAAATTAAATTATGATGCAGCTATGAAACAGGCCGATTTATTGTTTCCTGATGATATAAAGGAACCTGCTAAGGAAGCCATTACTGCTTGCAGAAAAGTTGGTAAGAGTCCGAGAATTTCCGAATTGTAAAACTCGTAAGAAGTACTTAAGCCCATACTCTACTATTATGACCTATTATTTAAGTGTCGCAGTCACTCGACCAACTGTCTGCTTTTAGGAACTGTTAAATTCTGTATGAAAAACCCGCAAAATCGTAAAAAAGGAATAAATATTTTCATCAAAATTAAAACGGCTAATGAATATAAAATCACAATAGAAGGTCATAAAAATCTAAATCACATTCATTATTTATCTTGCGAACAAATTACCTACCAGAAGTCATTAGGGTTGGCCAATTATTTCAAGTAGCCAGTAGGTATCATACTTGCCTACTTCCCTAACATTGTGTAGGTACATATTAATTCATTGCCCATTGTTTTTTTCAGCGGATGCCCATAAAGACATTTGCGATGCGTCATTTCACGTAACTAAGTGCATCTACAATCACAATCCTGGTATATTTTACTTTCCTTGATATTTAAATTTACTTACTTTGTACCTTAGATCTCGTAATGAAATAAAACTTTTACGTAAGACTAAATCGCGTTTATATTTTGCTCCGAATATAGTGTGAAGGATGTGGACAGATAAGTAGGTACTATACGCAGATCTTATGTATTACCATTTTGAAAAAATAATATAGGTAATATGTTAACCCATACTTAGGACTAAGTTAAATAGCTACTTAATCACAGGTGGCCAGTGACTGCCTCGTTGGCCGAGTGGTCGCA